CTTTCCCTTCTACCCAGGGAAAGTTCTTCCCAGGCCACTGCTTGGCTCAGGCCCTAAGGTAACCCTGCCTTTAAAAAGTTTATTTTTAATTGGGTTTTTGGGTCACACCCAATGGTGCACAGGATCTAGTCCAGGCTCTGTGCTCAGCAGTGACCCCTGGTGGCACCGGGGACCCTGCTTAGAGCCTGGCTGGAACTGTGGGCGGGGAAGGGTTCGGGGCTTCCCCCAAGGCCTTTTGCACTGTTTCTCCAGCCCCCAAGGGACCCCTCCCTTAGCAGAACCCCCTCTAGAACCCCACAGACATTGCCCCCCACCTCTCTGCCTTCTTATTTTTTTCTTTTAGGGTCACATTCAGCGATACACAGGGCAGATATACTCCTGGCTCTGCACTCAGGAATTACTCCTGGCGGTGCTCGGGGGACCATATGGGATGCTGGGAATCGAACTTGGGTCGGCCATGTGCAAGGCAAATGCCCTACCCACTGTGCTATCACTCCAGCCCCCTTCCTACCTTCTTCTGCTTTCTTCTTGGCTGTGGCTCTCACGCGGCCTGGTGCGGCACGCATCTGAGTACGTGTTTGCTTACAGCCTGGAGAGGCATTAGGCTTCCCCAGCTCGGCCTCTCTTCCTCCTGGGCCTTGACCACTGCCCCTCTCCCTGATGTGGAGGACACAGGCTCTTCCACATGACCTCCCTGCATCCCTCTCAGCTCCAGCTGCTGCTTTTCTGGCAAGTCTTCGCTGGTCCCAGTGCCCAGAGTGATCCCTTCTCCCCACACTGAGCCTTTCCTCATGACTTGTGCCACGTACTTTCCCTCCCAGGGCTGACTGCCACAAATGAGCACTGGCAGTGCCAAACTGATCTCCAGCCTCCCGGGGGGGGGGGGGGGGACAAGGAGGGGAGGGAGACATGCATGGACACATGTGTGTGCTCATATGTGTACCCCAGGCTGCCGAGTGGTGGCAGCTCTGACGGTTGTGGTCAAGATTCCCCAGCAGGGCTGTATCTGGTGGTGGTGGGGAGGGTCTGGCGGTGGCAGGGGTCCCCGGGGCTAAAGAGGCAAAGGCGAGGCCGAAGGAGCCCTCACCTGTCTCCCTGTGTGCAGCCTGAGAGGCCAGAGGTGCTGGCACAGCCTTGGGGACAGATCCCGGGGACAGCTGGGGGTAATTATTCACCCCGGCAGGAGAGGCTTAATCCTCGGATCTGTTCCAAGTCGTTCTTTTTAAATCCCCCAGCTGGCTAAAGACTTAGAAGGGAAGATGTGACAGCCATTTGCGTCTTGTCCCAGATGGGCTGCCACTCAGAGTCCAGGAAAAGGCCGATGGGGCAGGGCTGCTGGGTGGGGTGGCAAAGCAGGCCGTGTAGTCATACTCCTGCCAAAGCGCACCCCTCCGCTGCCCAGAGGGACCCCGGGAGGTCCCGCACTTCCTGGCAGTTCCCTGTTTCCCTCCTCCCAGAAGCGTGTCCTTCCGCAAAGGACAAACACAAGATCAGTTCCCATGGCAAAGCCCTGCTAATGCTGTGGGGGGCTCTCGGGTCCGTTCTCTTCCGGGCTTTAGAGACGCCTAGTTTAGCTCGCTTGGCTTCGGGACTCCCTTCCTGGCTCTGGGGGACCCCCTCCCATGTGACGAAGCCAACCCCACCTGCGCTTAGAAGCAGGAGCTCTCAGATACCCGTCTTCCCCTCTGCCACCACATGTCCCCACGAAGATGGATGCCACACACCTGGGGTGCCAGGCAGAGGTGTGAGGCGAAGCCTCTGCGCCTCGTTTTAAAAGAGCAGCGGCGCTAAGACGGAATCAGTGACAGTGACTCATGCTAGTGACATCTGCGGGGCCGGGGGGAGCCCGGGAACCCCTAGGGGCAGACCCGGACTGTAGTGAGGACGTGACTTAGCCAAGCTCCTGTCGGGCACCAGCGGAGAGCAGAGCCAGTGTCGGGGATGTCTCTGTGGCAAGTGTCCCGTGGGTGGCACTAGCGGGAGGGGACCAATGGGCGGCCTCACTGCTGGGAGACGAGTGCAGCTGCCCAGGCGGCGGGGTGGAGCAGGTTGGCGGGCCTGGTAGGACAGCGGCGTGCCTTGGGGGCGGGGGGGGGGGGCCTGGCACAGAGGGGCGCCTTCCCAGCAGCCTCCAGGACAGCCCCTCGTGCTGGCACCGTGCCATGCCCGGCCCGCGGGAGGCCCACAGAAACGCTTTCCCAGCCATTCCTCTTTCGGAATCATCAGCACATTGCAGTGAGGCAGAGGGCGAATCACATGACTTCGGAGTTCATTGGTTCCAACGATTCCCCTCTAAGAAGGCGTTGGTGCCAGAATGGCACATATGTTCCTTCAAAAAACACACAGTTGCTGGGGGGATGGAACTTTCCCCTCTCCCAAACCATCCCCGCGTCCGGGCATTGGGCTCTGAAGCACTTTCTGCCTCTTGGTGGCTGGCAGGAGGCCACGGGGGGGAGGCGGGGTGGGGGGGTGAGAGGGTGGCCGTGGGCACTGCTTTCCCTCCGGAGCAGGCTGTGGTGGCCACGACCAGGGAACAGCAGGCCTAGGGGAGTGGTGTGGTGCAGAGCAGCTGAACAGATGGCTTTGAAAGCCAAGTGGCAATTGGCAAGGTCAGGACGCTGAGAGGGGACACTGCTGACCTTTGCTGAGGAAGCCAACCTCTCAGTCAAGATCCCCTCCCCCCCGCTCCCAGGCTTCCTGGCGCTTCCCCTCACGGCCCCCAGGTCTGGGCACCCTCTGTGCAGGCAGCTAATATCTTCTGTCTCTCCCTCCCTCGTGGACCCCTCAGAGGAGCTGCAAAACCTCCAGTTGACAGCCCTGACAGTCCAGCCCCCGAGCCCCTGTCCTGACCAGGACAGCCTGGCCTGGTCCCCCTGCCTTGTCCAGGGTGTCATCTGACACATCCAGCTTCCTGTGATAGGGAACCCCTCGTGCTCTACCAGCCATAGGCAGGGCGGGGTTCCTCCCACACCAGTCTATAGGCCTCTCGCCCATTCTACAGATGGACAAATAGAGGCACACAGAGCCTCAGTAACTGTGCCGGGGTGTGTTGGTGGGGGATGTGGAAGGACGGCTGTTCTATTGGTTGGATTCACCTGGGCCCTACTGCTGGGAGGGGGCTTGGAAAGAAATGTCTGTCCCTGGCAGAACCCCCTACACATACACACACACACACACACACACACACACACACACACACACACACACAGAGCCAGGTCCAAACTGGTTTCTGACTCCATCGTGGCGGAGGAGCCCTGTGGAAAGCTAGTTCTCAAGGCCCGGATGGTGGAAAGACAGAGCCTCTTACCCCCCACCCCTTACCCCAATCTGTTCCTCTGCTCTGCGTGGGCCTCAGCTGCTTGCACAAGGGATCAGCCCTCAGAAGCCTGTTCTCGTGCTTTGAAGCTGACAGCCTGGTGCCTGTGGAAATGTGGGGCTATTTCAGGCCTTCATTTGAAAGAGGTTTCAAAGGAGGGAATCAAAGCCTCGGCTGAACTGCTTATTGCGCTGCTTCTCCTGGTCGGCTTCTCGGTGGGTGAGCCTAGACACCGCATCTGCCGCTCTGCACGTCATCTGTAGGCAGGTGAACGTTCCGAATCGGTACCTGGCTCACTGCGGGTGGCTGAAGGGCTTCTGCAACCTTCTCCCCAGGAGCATCTAGGACTTGGAGACCTTTCTCGTAAGGCCCACCAGAGTCCATCATGACACCAAAAACAAGGGCATGGGAAAAGGCTGATGCCCAGCTTGGTCGACCTGGGCTCCCCCAGGGAGGAAACTGACTTCCTTGGGAAGAGGTGGAGGGGCTCTGTGATTGCTCTGCAGGAGATGGGGAGGCCTTTGGCACAGCAGGATACTGGGCTCTGTGCTCTGTGTCAGGAGCTACTGTAGGAGTCACCTACTTGTGCCAGCACACTGCAGAGCCGCACCTGGTCATGCCCCCTTGCTGGTGTCCCCACCTCACAGAAGTCTGCTATCTTTCATCCCTTTTGTGTCCCCAAAGGGTTCAGCTGGTACTGAAGGATCTAGGATCTGAGGAGAAAGGCCTTGGTGCTGGCATTCCTGAAAAAGCAGGTGAGAGGAAGGCGTGTGGGGTGCGCACTGAAGCAGGAATGCTGAAATTCTGGGGGCTTCTTCTGTCCCCAGCTTTCTGTGCTCAGCTAGGAAAGGTCGCTGCTTTCTAAGAATACAGCCCAGACAAAGGCAGAGTTGGGTTCTCAACTGTCTCCCAAGAGCACACAAAAGAATTTGTGGGTTTGGTTTGGGTTTGGTTTCCGGGTCATGCCCGCTGCTGTGCCATAAGGGGTGCGGAGAATCAGATCGGGGTGGCATGCATGTGAGGCAAGTGCCTTCCCCTGTCCTAGGGGCTCTCCACAGGCAGGCAAGGCTGTCTCAGCCTCAGAACAGGCTTCTAGAAAAGACAGTTCTGCCGGCAACGGATGCTGAGGGCGCTGAGCACCAAAAGTCCCCTACGTAGCATAGGGTTTCCTCCTTTGCAGCAATTTCTGCCTACCCAGCCAATGCGCATGTTTCAGTGACAGTGCTGTCACCAACGTCACCCTCACTCTCACCCAGCCAGTGCCCCCGTGGGCACCCAGGGGACTGATTGCTTTTCAAGGTGCTTCATGGCTAGAACTGTCCCCTTACCCTGGCCAAACAATGCCTGGAGGAAAGTCCATTCACCAGGACCCAAGCAAACAGGGGGGCCCTTCTACCATCAAGAATTGGAAGCTTCCACAGAGGGCTCACCACCGGCCCGCCCACCTCACTCAGAGCAGGGAGCACTGTGCACAAACATCTTCTCTTCCCGAGGGCCCTGGTGCTGCCCGGGTGGCCACTGAGAACTTCCACATACTCGTAACCTGCACCCGAAGTTTGACGACCCAGTTGTAAGGAGGTTGATTCCATCGCCATTCGTTTCCTTCTCAACTAGATACTGGAAGACATGGGCTTTAGATATACGGAACGAATAATCCCTAATTCATGGGCAGCCAGGATGAAGTCCTGGAGGACCACGGCTTACAGTTAACAGGGGCTCGATTTCCTACATCTTAGCAAGAGAGCATTCTGTCACCTGAACGTGGCTACGTCAGACAAACAGCCGACGGCCAAAGGAGTGAGGTACAAGGCCCGAGTCTGCAGAAAGACTCGCTCTATTTGGTTAACCGCTGGGTCCACAGACAGGCTGCACCTTGAGACACATCCGGTCCAGGCCCGCCCTCCTAGCCACTGCTTCTGGAAGCATCTTTGCATCCTTCAGCTGTGTCACAAGCTCATGGAGCCTGTTTTCATAACACGCTTGGAAGATCTGACTGAAGCTGGTGATTCGGTTCACTCTGCGTGCGAGATGCCAGAGTGAACTGGCAGACCCCAAACACAGTGACAGGGCCCCCGGGTGCCAGGAGCAGCTGCCGTTTCCTGGTGATGGGATGTGTTCGGGAGACACCACAGGGGACCGAGGGGAACGGCGCCAAGTTCCCGCAGAGGCTGGGGCAGATGAAAGACTCTGAGCACCGAGGCCCGAGCACCGAAGCCCTACTGCATGTGGCAGCCAGAGTTGGGCAGCAGTTCCTGCAAATGAGAGGCCACGGCCTTGGTCAGGTAGGTCATTGTCCCGTAAGCCCCACTTGGGGCGCTGTCGTAAAAGAAGTGGCAGATGCCCGTGGCTTGGTCTTTCTCCAGGGTCTCCGTGGCCCCCATGGATATCTGCAACACAAAAAGGCAGAGGCGAGGCATGAGCTTAGGGTGAGCATGGGTGCCCCCTGCCGCCAGGGACACCAGCACTCCTGCCTGCCCACCCGCCACCCACATCCCCACGCACTGCCCAGCTGGGGACTGGTCTCAGCTAGCTGGCAGGGGTGTGGACCGGTTGGTTTGGCGGACTTGGGGCCGAACATGCAGCCGGCAGACCCTCACAGAAATAGACCCGCCCATCCCCAAAGGCCCTGACATTTCCCAAGAAGCCTCTGTGCCATTTTCTAACCACATGGCTGACATTTCGGTGCCATCTGCTGTGGCATTTTCTGTGTTCGAGCTAGCCTTTCCCGTCGGATGCGAACTCTCCAGCCGAGGCAGGGACAGGAGGGCCGCCCCGCCCCCACCTGGTCCTGCAGAAAGAGCTGGTTGGCCAAGTGCACGAGCTGGTCCACGTGGATGATGCCGCCGATGCTCTCCATGTCCGAGTCCGACAGCAGTGCCAGCACCAGGATTGCCTCCACCAGCAGCTGCCGGTACTCGGGCTGTGGCACTCGGTTCAGCACCGATTCCACGTGCACAGCGAACTTGATTTCCTGCGGGGTCATCTGTGGAGACGTAGAGGAGGGGAGTGGGGTGGGGAGTGGGGTGGGGAGTGGGCACTGGACACCACCTTGGCCCCAGTGCTGACTACGGCGCTGAGGCCGGAACCCAGTGTGGCAGGAGAGGTGGGCTCTGGGGAGCACCTCTGTGTTAGTGGCCATTACGCCAAGTGGCAAGTAACTGTTTTGAGAAGCGTTGGGCGGGGAGTGGTCAGGCAGATGACTGAAGCTGCATGTGGTTGTGGCAGCTTTTGGTCTTTTACTGGGGAGTCTTAGAGAGGAAAGAGAAGGAAAAGGGGGGTGCCAATTCAGTGGGGGGAAAGGATACTCTGATTTGCTCTCCCGAAGCCTTGTGGGTAAGGCTGGAGACCTAGTACAGGGGTGAGGCACTCGCCTTGTTTGTGGCTGACTCCTGCTTGATCCCAGGCACGTCACACTTCGGGCCCCCTTGCACCCCTCGGCACCCCAACCCCCTCCCCAAACTGCCCTGTGGATCAAGGACCAGGTTGCAAAGCAGCCAACGTGACAAGAGGGGAACCCGCAGCGGGACTCTTGGGGTGTCCCATCATACCTCTCTTGTCGTCGAGGACAGCAGTACATAACCGTCAATGGACAGACCGTGGCACTGGGGACAGAACACACGTCAAGTTTCAGTCAGATCCTCCCCCTCCCCCCAGGTGCTGAGGCAGTGAGTGCGCGCGCACATGTGCATGCACGCATGCGCACCCTTGCTGCCTTGCGTGCCCACCTGCACGAGGGCAGGAACACGCCAGACTGTCAGTTATTTTTAGGGTGCGTGTGCGCACTGCCCACAGGCTGTTTTCCATGGAACAATTCTCGGGAACCAGCAGGCATCTTCCTGAGCACGAACAATGCCCCAGGGAGCACATTTCACTTGGCAGCCTGGCCAGGCGGCTGCAGGCCCCCTTTGGTGCTGTTCAGGGCTCCTGCCGGAGAAGTGATACTTTGGGGGCCTTTGCAGGCATCTATTTTGGAGATTTCTATAATAAGCACCAATCACAAAAGACTCGAGCACATGCACAGACACGCACATGCACACCCGTGCGTATAAATATCAAGCCGCTGCTCCCCCCAAGTGCTGCTTTTTCATAATAAAAGTGTCTCGGATGAAGCCAGTGGCAGTCCGGATGGCAGCGAGCGACGCCCGGGGAAGAGTGGGGAGAGCTTCGAGGAACAGTTTGTTCTCATCTAATTGGCAGCATTATCAAATCCCGGCGCCCTGGCTGGCAGCAGCCGCGCTACCTGTGCGCCCGGTGGGCTGAGGAGCGCCCGGGGGCGGGAACTCCCCAGGCGAGCGGGGGCAGCTGTACCCTGCAGTTTGCCAAGAAGAGGACGGTGCCTGGCTAGGACGGGTCTGCGTGTGCCCTGCCGATGATGAAATGTCTCTGGTTGCTTCTGTGCTGCGCTGCTTCACGCAGACCTACTGGCCCTCACGCTGAGGGGGGCGGGGGAGGGGATCCTGGAGAGAAGTACAAATAGACTAGGGACAGCGGAGGAGGGAGGGGGACGAGAGTGCAAGGGGGCAGCTGACTCATCCTTGGGAACAGGGGTGCCGGCGGGTTCTCCCACGCGCTTGGGGTGGGTGCGGGGTGGAATGAGGCTCAGGGGAGAAGACACTTGGGGGCTGTCGCCTGGCATCTGTCTATAGCACTGATACCTGAAGTGATGGGAACACTCCCCCCCAGGGAGCCTGCTCCGTGCAGGGGGCGCTGGCAGCTCCTAGGTTGGGGAGGGGGGGCCGTCATGTCTGGGGAGTGGCTTCTGGGGGTCACAGCTAATACCTTCCAGCATATTCTCAGGATGGCTGTCCCCAGAGGAGACTAGCAGCAGGTGCCTGGTCTGCCACAGCATTCCCCCACCCAAAGACCCAGGGTCGGGGGTGGGGGTCATGTGCTTCACAAGGGGGGTAGCCCACCACATTCTCCAAAACACATCCCAGCACTCACCTTCTGCAGGATCTCCCACACCTTCTGGTAGAAGCCCACAGGGACCCTGTTGATGGCCCCGTCCAGCCTTCTCCGCCGCAGCCACTGACCCTGCCGCTCCCCACTGCCCAGGTGATGGCCCCCTGAGTCCGTGGACGACGTGCCCGTTGGGGAAGATGGGGTGCTGGACCTCTGCAAGACAGACAGCCAGCCCGTCAGCTCCGAGCACACCCTGATTCTTCCCCAGCTGCACGTGGCCCTAATGCTTCCGCTCTCACGGCTCAGCCTGTCTGGGGGAAGAACTGGAGGCCGCTGTGGAAACCCCATAGGGCACATGTGCCTGCTGCCAAGTGTTTGGGGGCCAGGGCAGGGCACCCCAAGCCTGCCACCTGGTCTGATTGCAGAAGGATCTGGAGCTCTGGGAGCTGGGGAACCCCACCCGCCAGCTTTCCCCACCCTCAGACCCGACAGAGACCCTCCGTGCTGCTCTGCAGTGCCACAGACAAAGCCACACCAAGACTCGCATTCCGGAACTGGGGCAGAGAAAAGATGTTCCTACTGCCCATGCGGCCCCATCAATCTGCCTTCTGCTTTGCCTACTGGCGACACCATGTGCGTTTTGTCCTACTTTGGGCCAACAGCTGCCTCTGAAGCAGAACTCTGCTTGAAGGAAGCAGAGGGAGGTGTCACCTCCAGTCCAAGGTCTCCCTAGGGTAGGGCCAGTAGTTCTGCTTTGAATCTCAGGAGGGAGCACTTCTCAGAGGCTGAGGAGGCAGGTGGGGGGGGGTGTAGAGGTAGACCAGGCCCCAAAGTGGGGTTCACTCAGCGTGGGGGTAAGGCAACACTGATTGTCAACCCAAGCAGTAAAACTCCAGGCCAGTTGCTTCTCTGGGCCCTAAGCACTGGGGTGCTCCGGGTCGGGGTGGCCTGAATTTCTCCCTTCCTCATTATCTTCCTTCTGGCTGACGCACACGCCCATTTCTCCAATTTAAATGTAAGAGCTGAAAGCCAATCCAAAGGGTAATGCTGGGGCTCTCGTGGCAGAGCACATGCCTGGTACACGGGCACCTTTCCTGGCACTGCGGAGAGTGGAGCCACAGAAGATGACAGTGGTGATGGTGATGGAACAGACTCCCAGCGCTAATTATGCTCCCCGGGCATGCGTCTTCTATCTGCACTCCCCTTGACTTCATCGGATCTTATTTTGAAAGGGCTGTTTGGCTGGGTTATTCCATTGGGCTCATTACTGCCATTTAAATACAGCAGCAATTAGATACAAATAAAAGTAATTACTGCTGCACTCATCAATGACTCAGCTGGTTTCTCCTAGTTTCGGGAGGAAGATTCAGACTTGGCTCTGCAATTAGAACACTGCCTAGTCCTCCACTCAATCTGAGGCCCTGAGCCAAGCCAGGCTATATGGGTACACAGTGCTAATCACCGTGAGTGGGCAATGGCTCACCGTGTCTCAATAAAAAGGCCCGGAGCCAATGCCTCGAAGGTTCCAGAAGCTCTTGGGAATGAGTGAGGAGAGTGTTCCTCACCCACACCCCATTGAGGAACAGAATTTAAGATGGAAAATATAGCTCAGTCCAAGAATTTCTTGCTCTTCTCTCTTTCTTTCTTTTCTTTTCTTTTCTTTTCTTTTTTTTTTTTCATTTTAGGTCACACCCGGCATTGCGCAGGGATTACTCCTGGCTCATGCACTCAGGAATTGGTGGTATTTGGGGGCCCATATGTGATGCTGGTAATCAAACCTGGGTCAACCACATGCAAGGCAAATGCCCTACCCACTGTGCTATTGCTCCAGCCCCCTTTTTTCTCTTTCTTGACTGTGTTCAGTATGAGAGGGGAAACGCCAACTCATAGGCCCGCTCAAATCTCTGCAAGTTGGGGATGAGAGGAGAAACAGGGCCCGGAAGAGGCACAGACACCACCGACAAACAAGGAGGAAACTGAGTGGCCGGGGCTGGGACCCGTGATTTACCATGGATTTCGAGGAGTACATGCTGGTGGATGTGGCCTGGTTCACAGAAAAGAACTGCAAAACAAAGAGAATCTGTTTAGTCACATGCAGTGACACAGGAGGACACACACAGGACACACAGAGGAACACAGCAGCCTTGAAAGCCCCCCTGCCAAGGAGGTACAGAGGATGGGGGCAAAGAGTTGGTACCCCCACAAGCAGCAAACTGCCCAGAGTCCAGCCCAGGTGGAGGCTGGGCTGTGCCAGTTCCCTTAGGCCAAGGATTAAGTGCTTCTGGATCCTAGGGGTGTGCAGGGATCTCATCAAATCCTGGCCAGTTATTTTCCAAAGGCCCCAGGATGGAAACCAATCTGAGCGAAGTGAAAATCTACAGAGATTACCTCCAGCCAGAACCAGCAGCAGACCTTTGTTAAATGAGCAAATCATCTCAGCTGCTGACCCAAATTTGACCAAACCAGCGTTTCCTCATCTGACAATCTCTAGTGTACCCTTCACTTGCCTTGGGGGGAGGCACTGAGCACTCACATGTCCCATAGCATTGCCAAAGAGAATAGAAACGCAAAATGCATGGCAGCTCGAACGTTATCAACAGAGTGGAATGCATTTCCCAGGAATGAGTGGCCAAATACAAAACATGTGCTGGCTAATTGACTCTAACCCCATCGAAGAAAGAGGTGAACAGTCTTTGTTGTCAGAATATGCAAGGGTGGCCTTAAATGGAGGCGGAAGGAATCACCCATATTCCTTTATGTGATTGGTGGTCTGCCACCAGTCAAATTTAGATAAACCAAAGGGACGGTGCCACCGGTGCCACCGAGTGGTTGGCAAAGGAAGACGTTTCAGAGCTCTTTTCCTTACTAGGAAAAAGCACAAATTAGAGTGAGTTTTGCTTGCTTTGAATGTCTGCTGTACCCTGGGACAGCACAGAGAAGCCTCACTGCCATGTTTTTTCCATTCCATTGCATGACATTTTCGGTTTCCTCCTGTCTCTGACAGGGGAACATTAAATCATTAGGAGTGTGGCTCCAGTTTCCTGGAGGGAGGAAGGGGAGGAAGTATGTCACAAGGTGAAAGAAGTGAGATCCTTAAATCCTGTTCTTCCCAGCACTCATTGCCTGAGTGATCTGGAGGAAGGCAGGGCCGTGTTCTCCCTATTATACAGGAGTGCCTGTTCCATTGCACTTTGTAGACACTGGATTTCTGACACCACCACCACAAACCCCAAAGATAGCGATCTGCTGGAGGCTCAGATGATGGTTAGCAATACAGCATTTTCAAAGTAAAGCACATGCCTACATATCTATTTTAGCCATCATGCCAGTGCACATACAACAGGCTGATGTGGAACATCAACAGTATTTCTCAAGCATCAGGAAGCCGGAATCGGGGAGACTGGCTAGATGGCGACATCCATGTTACTGAGGTGGTCTGGAGCCAACTCTGTCGCATCGCCAAGGCATGCTTGCCTGTAATCAGTGACCCCAATTTGCATTTCTCTCTTTTGATTCTGTGCTTTGAACAGAAGCACCTGTGGAGGCTGAGCTGGGGACTGTGTCACCTGGCAGAAGGCATTCCTCACGGCGGAACGAGTGCAGCTCACAGCCCGCCACCACCTGCAGAGTCCCAGAGCCCAGCCTGACGCCTCACTTTCCTGGCCCGCTTTCCACATGCAAGCCCCAAAGCACGCAGCCAGCATGCAGCAAAGGGCAGACCCAGACAGACGTTTCACCTGGTCGTCAGCACTAAACCGTCTAGTGATCTGAAAGTGGAAACAAAGCAGCAGTGAACTAGACCCCGCTCGGCATCAAGGCACTGGGACTGGGAGGCCTGCAGTCCCGACGGGGAGTTCAATGAGGGGCATCAAGCAGGGAGCCGTGCGAGGCCCCCGGACAGCAGAAGGCCCCAAACACACGGCTCACTATCTAGCGTTCCCCCACTATCTCATTTGAAAGACACTTGTGACAAAAAGGACATCCGGTGACATTTTACCCTTTTTATTTGATTTCTTTTTCTTTTTTTTCTTTTTTTGGGGGGTCATACCCGGCGATGTTCAGGGGTTACTCCTGGCTCTGCACTCAGGAATTACTCCTAGCGGTGCTCAGGGGACCATATGGGATGCTGGGAATCAAACCCGGGTCGGCTGTGTGCAAGGCAAATGCCCTCCCCGCTGTGCTATGGCTCCAGCCCCCTTTTTACCCTTTTTAAAGGCTTGTGGGCCACTACAAGGAGCGGCTCTTAGCACCATAACCAAACACGCACAAGGGCCTTTTCCAGAATGTTCACAGAACAGGTTAAGAAGAGCATGTATGGCAGGGGCTGGAGAGATAGCACAGCGGGTAGGGCGTATGCCTTGCATGCGGCCGACCCGGGTGCGACTCACAGCATCCCATATGGTCCCCTGAGCACTGCCAGGAGTAACTCCTGAGTGCAGAGCCAGGAGTAACCCCTGTGCATCGCCAGGTGTGACCCAAAAAGCAAAAAAAAAAAAAAAAAAAAAAAAAAAAAAAAAAAAAGAAAAGAATAAGAGCACGTATGGGGCCAGAGCGATGGTACAGCAGGTAGGTGATTTGCCTTGCATGTGGCTGGCCCGGGTTCGATCCCTGGCATCCCATATGGTCCCCCAAGCACCGCTAGGAGTAATTCCTGAGTGCAGAACCAGGAGTAACCCCTGAGCATCGCTGGGTGTGACCCAAAGTAAGCAAAAAAAAAAAAAAGAGCACGTATGGCTCCCTTATATTTGGAGACGGGTGGGGGGAGGGAGGTGGGGGAGGGGGCTGGAAGGGGGTAGGGGGCCGTTCCGGTTCCTGTACAGAAGGGATCTGATGTCTTCCACACGGGATGGGCCGTGCCCTGCTTGCCCTGTGATTCTGTCACGGTTTGATATCTGAGGGGAGTCCCGGCCGCCAAGTCCCTGCAGCCTCTCACCTGCTTCATCTCACTCCTCAGCCTGCTAATGCCGCTTCTCTCCGTTTTGGTGACACCAGTGTGCCCCACCTCATGGATGGAGATGGCAGGGCTGGATGTGCACGAGTGGATAGGTCGCACTGGAGAGAAAACACACACACACACACACACACACACACGCGCGGCTCTTAGAAACGAACAGCATCTCCCGGAGGGTGAGCGGGGTGCCAAGCCTTGGCACACCCACAGGGCTGGCAACTCCATCCCAGTGGGTGTCGCCTCCAGCGGGTGGAGCAAGAGAGAAGGTCGCCCAAGCAGTGTGTGACACACACCTTTCTTCAGTAAACCAAATGTGGGGTTTTCGCTGTTTGTTTTTGCTCTGTCAGTCATCTAACCACGGCTCTGTTTTTATTTTTTTCCTACTTCATTTCCACACCACAGTTGACGAGTTGTTCATAGTCCAGCTGTTCCGGGCTTTCGGTGCTCCAAACCAGGGCTTTAAGTACTGTGCCCTACCACTGATCAACAGCCCCAGCCTGGGAAACCGGATGTTTATTTAAAAATCATGTTTACCTCTCCAAAAGCACAGCATCCGTGTAGAAAGAACGGAGCCCGCTCCATTCAGAAAGCCACAGTGGGTTGCAGACACAGCTCAATGGACTGAGCATATGCTTTGCATGAGCATATGCCATGCGTGTAGGGGACCTGGGTTCGATCTCCAGCACCACATGGTCCCCTTAGCACCACCAGTAGTCCCTGAGGCACTGAGCCCAGAGCAGTTCCTGAGCTCGACCAAGTGAGATCCAAAACCCAAAATAAAAAATCAGCATGGGGACCCAAGCAATAGTATAGCAGATAGGTTTCTTGCTTTGGACAGGCTGACCCGGGTTCAATCCCTGGCACACAGCACAGTCCCCTGAGTTCTACCAAGACTGATACCTGAGCACAGAGCCAGGAGTAACCTCTGAGCACCATAGGGTTTGGCTCCCTTCCATACAAACAAACAAAAATTCTTTCAGATATCTCAGGAATCTCGGGATATAATGTGAAATTCCACAGTGATTTGAGTTTTATAATTGATCAAAATGGAACAAAGAATAAGCAAGGAGCAATGTCCTATGGAAAAGAATAGGTCTCTTCTGGCCTGGTGTGCAAGGAAACAGACGTAGGGGTGCTTTCTTTCCTTTTCTAATTTTTTTTGGTTCTTGCTTTATGGGCCACACCCAGTAGTGCTCAAGGCTCATCCCTGGCTCTGTGCTCAGGGATCACTCCTGGTGGGACTAGGGGAACCATTATAGGATGCCGGGGCCCCCAGATCTGGGGTTTCTGAGCAACATCATTCTCTTCCTCAGTCCCCCAGGATCCTGGGGCTTTCCATTCAATAACACCTTTTCAGTAATTGCATACATCAAGTCTTGTGGCCCGTTTTAATGAGCAGAAGACTTTAAATATTTATCTTGAATATTTACATTTCAAGGATGGGGTACTCAAAAGAATAGAGTAGAACTTCTGGGAAAGGATCTTTCAGGAACAGAGCAAAGCTATCAAAGCACATCTGATTGTCTGCAGTTGGTCTGGGGTGCCGGCTGGTGCTCACTGGGGGGGGGGGGGAAACCAGTGAGTACCCAATGTCCTTCTTATTAAATAAACAGAATGACAGTCCACATCACATCTCTTGGCCTTGATGAAATAAATTCGCAAATGTATCTGCAAATCATTTCACTTTATTATGAGGAGGAGAAATGATAATTGCTTCAATTATAATTAGGGAGCATTTGAGAACAGAATTCTGCCAGGACTTGAGTGATTATATTTCCTAGTACTGCAAACAAGGTTCTGGTACAGATACCAATTGAATGAGTAATACAGGGACAAAATCAGCTCCATTAGCACAAAGGTACTGTGAGGTTGCAAGGCACACCCCCACACACAGGAAGGAGAAGGAGGGTTGCCTGGGAGAGTCTGTACCTAACCATTGTGGGCACACGGATGTCCAGAACGAACAGCCCTTTCAGCCCTGTACACAGGCCAGCTCACCCCCTCCTAATGCCGGGCACAAGGGGCCACCCATTGGCCTAAGCTGAGACATGCACAGCCTGCCACCCTCCGGAACCCCTGGCAGGGCTCTTGGAGCCCTATAGAAGAACCCATATGCCAAATGCTTCCATCTTGGACAGACAGCGCCATTCCTTAAGCTTCTGTTATCTTCCCACTTGCCATCACTGCTGTCAGACTTCACCTCACCCAGTGGTTTTCTACCTTCTTCTCCCCACTGCCCTAGGGGCTCAGCACCACCACCAGCCAGATGGCTATCAACTTTTAGCATACTGGCAGTAGTTTTCTGCTCTTGAAAACCACTGAACTAAAGGAAGCAGTTTCAGGGTCAAGGAGGTGGCTCAAAGCGTTGAACGCTTTCTTTCCTGCAGGAACCCCAGGTTCAATCGCAGCACTGCCTGCTTCCCAGAGCCAGGACTGACCCCTAAGAACCATGGCTCCAGCTAACAAGGCACGAGCAGATCCTCTACTCCCTTCCTCCCCTCAGAGGGAGACCAAGTTTTTACTTACTGCTTCTTTCAACACCAAATTCTTTCCCACTGAGAATATGGTGCAGGAGACTTTTCATATCGAAAGGGCTGAGGTTCATCAAGCTTTCCGAAGCTTCTTCTCCTAAAACCAACAACTTCGTGTAAGTGTCCCAGCCATGGGACTAGTGAAGATGGCAACAGGAGGGACTTAGGGGTAAAGAAATGGAAGATGCTGTGGTTGGTCTCCCTACTCCAGATGACCTCGCCTTAGGGCACTGTGACACCAATCTGGGCTGGTTCTCATTGTTGGTGATCCTGTGCACTTTCCTACCAAAGGCATGCTTTGGTGCGGTGGGACAGGCACACCCTACAGTGCTCAGGGGTTCCTCCTGTCTCTGCACTCAGGGATGACTTCTGGTAATACTTAGGGGACCATATGGGAAGCTGGGGAATGAACCCAGGTGAGCTGTGTGCAAGGCCTACCTGCTGCACTATCTCTCTAGCCCCTGCATGTTTTTTTTTTTAAAAATCTAATTTTTCCCTTAATTTTTAAAATTGATTGAGGTTCTGTGGTTGACTATTCATGCTGTGGTTTACTATACACTATACTATATAATATACTATATACTGTCTGTTCTCCCGTTGTTCATCGATTTGCTCAAGTGGGCCCAGTAACGTCTCCATTTTGAGACTTGTTACAGTGTTTGGCATATTGAATATGTAATGGGTAGGTTGCCAGGCTTTTCTGTGAGAGCAAGATACTCTCGGTAGCTTGCCAGGCTCTCCAAGAGGGGCGGAGGAATAGAACCCGGCTGGGCCGGACTGGCTGCACGCAAGGCAAACGCCCTACCACTGTGCTATACTATATAGTATATATTACATATAATATATTATTTACTATATAATATATTATGGGCTGGAGCGATAGCACAGAGGGTAGGGCGTCTGCCTTGCACGCAGCCAACATGGCCGACCCGAGTTCGATTCCTCCGCCCCTCTCGGAGAGCCCGGCAAGCTACCGAGAGTATTCGATATGCCAGACACAGTAACAACAAAGTCTCCAATGGAGACGTTACTGGGCCCGCTCGAGCAAATCGACGATCAACGGGAGGGCCTTTACCTTTACCTTATAATTCCAATTCCACACCCATCACCAGTATACACACCAGCCTACCCCAAGGACCCCAACACCCCTCCCTTTCAAAGCCCCCATCCCAGCAACTCAATTGTGTGGATCAGTTCTTCTGTTGAGTTGCCTTTGGCTCTGTGTTGCTAACTCGCTGTGTATCTTTAAGGCCCACACATGAGAGAGACCGTCCAGATGTGTGATATTTCACCACGTGATGCTCCCTGATGTTGGACTACAGTGACTTCCAGATTGAAATCTGAGGCACTTCTTGCAGGGGAGGTGCTATCCAATGGAAATGATAGTGCCCAGCAAAGAGGATGTGGAAGTGAGGTGGAAGATTCCAGGGCCTTTCTCCCTGACAGGAAAACCTATACCTTGTGTTGGATGGCTGGGTTGAAAGGTGTAGTCAAATGAGAGATGTGCCCGGGGTGAGGAGCCCTGACTCCAGAATACTTGGGCAGGTGTTCAGGGGGACAGGGAGAGAGGGCAGTGCATGTCCCACCTGAACAGCTGAGGCTCCGCGCCAGCTCTGTGGCCATCACCTGAATGATCAGTCCGATCCGGAGCCTGAGCATCTCCAGGAAGAGGCTGGGCTGAGCCCTGACGTACATGGCCAGATATACCACGATCTCCTGAGGTGGACACACGAGGAGACAGCAGTTCAGAGAGCTGGTGGCAGTGGCCCTATGCAGGTGCCACCCAGCAGCCCGTCCCCCAGCTGACCTGAGTGAGGACAGCAATGCTGATGTCTTGCCCGCTGGCTTCATAGATGAGTCTTGTGAGCTCCTCGGGGGGCAGGGGACTAGGAAGGGCATCAGGACACATGGATGGTGCCAAGGAGCAGTGCCATGTGCCCTACCAAAGGAGCCTAGCTCTGTGCCAGGGCTGGGGGAAAAAGCTTGAAGAATTGTAATGCGGGCTTTGCATGTGGGAGCCCCAGGTTCAAGCCTTGCACCGCATGGTCCCCCAAGCACCACCACAGCAGCCCCTGCAATGCTCCGCTGGGGGTAGGCCCCAGCAACACTGAACATGACCCCCCCCCAATTTAAAAACAAATGTCAATGAAAGGACCCACTTGGACTGGGAATGTGATGTGACTCGCATGGTTGAGCGTACGACTACCACGTGGTAGGTCCTGAGTTTGAGCCCCAGGACTGCATGCTCCCGCCTCAGACCCCAGCTCTGCTAGGTCTAGTCCTCATGCTCCCCAGCATGGTCACTATAGAAAAAAAATTCTCCCTCTTCCCAGATAGCACACCTGAGGCCGACCCCCAGCCCGCATGTCCAAGACTTACGCAGAGATGATCTTCTCACGGGGCTCAGGGGGCAAACCCACTGTCAGCTGCTTCTGGTGTGACAGCAGATCTGTACAGGCCTGATGATTAGGAAAAAGGAGAGGGACATGAACAAAGCCAGTGGGGAGTGATCACCAGCCACATGCCCACATGCGCCTACATTCGCCTTCTAAGCTCAGAGCTCAGGAATCCAGGATGCATGGTTTGTTTTTGGTTTTTTGTTTTGTTTTTTTTCCTTTTTGGGTCATACCCAGTGATGCTCAGGGGTTCCTCCTGGCTCTGCACTCGGGAATTACTCCTGGAAGTGCTGGGGGACCATATGGGATGCCTGGGATCGAACCCGGGTTGGCTGTGTGCAAGGCAAATGTCCTACCCACTATTCTATTGCTCCGGTCCTGAATGCATGGGTTTGAAGGCTCTTTGTGTCTCCAGGCTGGTCCTCCACGACCCACAGGTGGGTACTGAAGCCCATTCGCCCTCACAAACACAAGGGAGATGGAAGAGAAAGAACCAGTGACTGTCACAGCCCTCAGCGGGCCCACTGTTCATGTGTGATAAATGCCGTCATTTTACCACGGGGCTGAGCTTTCCCACACCGGCTCTGCAAGTTGGCAGGACCTCAGAGCAGAACCCATTAATGATGGCTGTATTATGCGGGTGCAAAAATGAGAGGGATCTGTCTGTGAGGGTGCCGGGCCACGGAGCGCTCTCACTTCATTTCACAGTAAGCCTTTTTCGGCAGCTAAGGAAGAACAAAACCAATCATCTTCAATTTCATTTCCTCTGCTCGCCTGCAAGAGCAGCGGGAGGTCAGGAGCTGGTGTGCGCTGTGGGAGGGTAGTGGAGAGGTTTTCTCTGCAGCTAACAGGCACCTGCCTTCAGCTTTCCTAATAGGACACGGGTGTGAAGCTGGCCGGGACAGCCGCCAGCCACGCTCGGGCACGCTCACCTCGGCCAGCACCTCCACTTTCTTCCTGAGCAGGCCAGAGATGTAGCGGATCAAAGCCCATTCCTGGTTCAAGCCTGCTTTCCCGTAGAGCTCGCTGAGTAGGTTGTAAACGGTGACCCGGTGCTGTCCAGAGAGATTTGTGTCCCAGGTGGGGCCCCTGTCAAGAAACAGAAGATTCTAGAAGCATGGGCCAGTAGAGTCAAAGAGTCTTCTGGCCGAGCTCACTTGACGGAGAGAAAAATGAATTACTCTCACTTCCACCAAGTGCTCGGGCTCTCCTTGGGCCCAACCCTCAGCAAGTGGACTACCTGTCACTCAAGGAGCCCCACTGACCGCTGAAACACAAGCCGAGCATCAGGACCCGGGACGATGCTGGCCTGCCCAGACTTCTCGTCCAGGGCAGCCGGCATTAACAGGCAGAGAAGGGGATGGAGTCTTGTTCCAGGGGTTCTGGGGTCACAGTCCTGACCGGGGCTTGCCGGCAGGAAGGACAGGAAGACGAGGACAGAGAGTGAAGAACAACAGCAAGAGAGCTCAACTCAGCAAAGGCTGCCGACTTACTTGATAACATACAGAATGTAAAGAATGTCGGCTTGGTCCTGTAAATTCGAACAATCTTTCAGTTGCTCAACCAATTTTTCACAGTCCAAGTCACCATGATCATCTCGGGGTAACTGGTAATCATCTTCTGGCAACTGTCAAAAGGCAAGGGACAGGGGCTGAGCCCATGTGGGAACTTTCAGATCAGGAACGTATACACGAAGCTGCTCTTTCTTTCTTTCTCTCTTTTTTTTCAGTTTTATAATGTAATTATTTTTAACATATATATTTTTAAATTTCATTAGTGAAACACCATGAGGTACAGTTGTAGACTTACAAATTTTTGTGCTTGGGTTTCAGTTATACAATGATCGAGTACCCATCCCTCTATGAGTGCCCACTCTCCACACCAATGATCCCAGCATCCTTCCCACCCCCCACCCCCCATCCCACCCCACCTCTCTCCTTTTGGGTGCTGTGGTTTGCAAAAGAGACATTGAGTGGCAATCATGTTCAGTCTATAGTCCACTTTCAGCATGCATCTCCCATCCTGGGAGGATCCTCCCAACACCCTTTATTTGGTGCTCCCTTCTCTATCTGAGCTTAAGCTGCTCTTTCAACTCTGTGCTGGGCTCCAAGTTTTCTGGGAATCTTCTGTAACTTTCTATTTATAAGCTTTATTATCTTTGGTCAGTGTAGTGGTCAATGTTTGCAAGAGGTGGGATCGATCAGGTTAAAATACATGTGAGTTTTATTTCTGCAAAGTTTAAAAGCAGACAGTCCAACTCCTGGAACCAGAAATCAGACGGATGGTTATCTTTGGAGTGGAGTGGGAGGAAGTGAGTGGGACGGGCACAAAGGGCGACTGGTCAAGACTCTTGGTTTCGTGACGACTCATGAGATATCTACTCCCACTTTATATGTTCTGTACTTTGATAAAATAGTTTTCGGAAAGGAACAAAACAAAAAAGTATACAAGTTGTCTTTGTTTTATTTTCCCCCTGACACTACTAGTGCTGCGCAGGGCTTACACCTGGTTCTGTGTTCAGGTCCTACTCCTGGCAGGGCTCAGGGAACATATGAGGTGCCAGGGATTGAACCTGGGTCAACAGTGTGCAAGGCAAGTGCCTTACCACTGTATTATCACTCTGCCTCCCCGCCAAGTATGTGAGTTTTAAACAACCTAAAATTAAGGATAGGTTAAAATTGTGTTTCCCCAATAGATAATACTGTCTGCGGGGAGGAACTGGAATAATCCAGAGAGCTGACAGAGGGATTGTAAATTGGGTGTGTGTGTGTGGGGGGGGGGGACTTTCTATTCATTTGCTTAAAGAAAAGAGATTTCAAGAAGGGGATACTGACTGATTTATTTTTTCTGAAAAGGGGGCAGTAGACCAAATAAGTTTGGAAACCTCTCTAAATCTCTGACAGACACTGAATCTTCCTATTCATGTGGGATGAAGTCAGGGGAAACTTTTTGTTTTGTTTTGCTTTGGGGGATCACATCTGGCTGTGCTCTGGGCTTACTCCTGGCTCTGTGCTCAGGGATCATTCCTAGCGGGCTTGGCGGACCATATGTAGTGCCAGGCATTGAGCCTGGGTTGATGTCTGTGTGCAAGGCAAGAGCATTACCCACTATATTATCATTCTGGACCCACTTAGGGGGGACTTCTGGATTAAAGAACAAGTTCTGGGAGCTAGTGAGAAACCGACCTGAAGTCTTCTTCTCTTAAAGAGCCATTCTCTACCTTTGCATCCCGTGTATTCTGCTTGCAAGGACGACTCCCCCCAGCACCACACCCCACTCTCGCCCCCACTGTCTGGCAAGAGAGGACAGGCTTGATCTTGAGTAAATTTATTTCGCTCTTGTGGGAGATTCTGATGAGTGGGCAGAAACCAAGTATGCTTTTTTCCTACACACAGAGCATAAAGGTGGGTGTCAGACTGATGCCCTCACTGGAACAGCAGATTCCGGAGTGACTCTATACCATAGCTCAGCACTTCTGATCCCTGAAGTCCTGGATATCAAGAAACATGATGGGTTTCTTTTTTTTTGGGGGGGGGTTTCCAACCTTTTAAAGGAGTTCACAGAAGTACATGAACATTATAAAACATACTTTTCAAGCAAGGGGTTTGAAATACTCACCTTTTTAAGGAGAGGCTGGGGAGAATCAACAAGATTCAGTGATTTACGATGGGCAGTAAGAACTTTAGTTGGCAAAGTCATGGGAACAACTGGAAAATTTAAAGAAATAGAGTTCTTTTGAGAAAGAGGAGGATAAAATACTTCTTTTGAGACTACCTACTTCTTCTTTAACACAAACCAACTAGAGGAAGAGTCACTAATTTAGCTTAACTGATTTCAACAAGAATTTACCACGAAGTCAACACTGCATGCTTAAATCTGGGAATAAGAAATGACCAGGATGTAAGACACATATCTTGCAATAAGAAGCTGGATTTTACTTTTCCCTCAGGAAATTCAGAGAAATGAACATAATATTTTAGGATTGGAAAGAGACTTAGATATGACTCAGTCCAACCTCTTTTTATTTCAGATGAGGAAACCAGATATGGTAGACCAGTTATCCAAGGACAGGGCCTTCTCATAATCAAGGTGTCTGGGATTCCTGTCCTGTATGTTTCACTTGGCACTGCAGGGTATTAAAGCATCAGTTTTTAAACCAGTTTTGGATGCTCTCATTATTCATATTTATTCATTAATGAATAAGATAGCCTTTCAGGCTATCTTTTTGCATTTTGAGAGAATAGGAAGTTTTCAAGGAAAAGGCAATGCATATTTAAGAGGCATTTATAGAAGTTCAGGTTAAACTAATGAATTGCATATCTTTAATTCTGCTTCTTCTCAAACCTCCACTATAGAATAGAATAGAATGTAATATTTTTAGAGGATAAACAGAATAGAATAGAATGTAATCTTTTTAGAGGATAAACAGAATAGGGAATACAGGGAAGAAGACAATAGTCACACAATTTGGGAAGCAGAAAGTGAATGGACAAGATAAGTGATTCAGCAGACACACGGCAACCAAACGCCCTGAGTCCCATGAGGAAATGTCAGAACCTGTCAGCTTTATATCAGATAATCCTCAGGTGTCTCAGGAGCTTGCTGTGCTGTGTACCTTTGGAGCGAGAGGAGTGGGAGGCGGGAGGTTAGGGATCAGAGATGGCATCCAAAATGAGGAAGGCTGACTGGGAAGAAGCTGTTCTAGAAGCAGTGAGTTCTCTAAATGCCGTTCTCAACATGACACATCTTGGTGACTACCCTTCTCTCTCTGTTAGAAATACAGGGTGTATCTGAAGAGTTTGTAAAGGGGGTGCTCTGAGGATGAGGGAGGAGGGAGAAGGGAAGCTGACTGCCTTATCTCAACACCTGGATACATTTCCTACATGGAATAGCCCCAACAACCTACAAGCTTGCCTGTCAACAAGGGGATTGAATGGGAGACTAGAGTATCTCTGGGAAATCTGGCCTGTAAACATTTGCAACCCCCTCAGTCAATAGACCCCACCCCCACACTCAGGAGATTCTCATGCAGAACAAACAGCCAAGAGATGCTTAGCACTGGAGAAAAGATTCTAATACAGAAGACACAAAAAGGGGCCAGAGCGATAGTATAGTAGTCGAGTGCTTGCCTTGTATGCAGCCAACCCAGGTTTGATTCCCAGCACCCCATATGGGTCCCCAAGCCCTGCCAAGAGTGATCCCTGAGTGCCGAGCCCGGAGTAAGGCCTGAGTACTACTGTGTGTGGCTCAAAATACCAACCAAACAACAACAAAACAGAAGACAGAAACAAACAAACCCCAAACAGGACAAAGGAATATGGTGGAATTGGAAACCATTCAAGGAGAAGAGAATGTAAAAACAAGCCCAAACACCTGCCATTAATATTCTTAGAGAAGAAAAATAAATTCACACTGCACACAGAAACCAGAGTAAATACAATGCAGAGAACAAAGACACGATGGCAAAAAAAACCCCAACAAACTCAATTAAGGGGGTGGACCAAAAAGTTGAAGTTTCCCTAGAACAGAGCAAAGGGTAAAGGGAAGACAGAAGAGAAATGAAAGCTTGCTAGGAGCTTCATGATGGAATCATGGTGCACGGAGAGGGCACGAGAGATTTTACAGGGCTGCAATGTGTATTTCCAGTGTGGAAGAAAATCCACAAAATTGGTCACAGAAAAGGTGAATTTGCAGAGGCTTGGAGTCCTCCACGAAAATAAAAGAAATTCTTCTCTACTGCCTGAGAGGAGCCCGAATGCACCCCCGCCCCGCTGCTATTACAGCTTGAAGGGGTGATCAGAACAGCTGTAAGGACCGGAGCCAAATGTCCACCCACAAAAGAAATCTCAGGCTCTTCATTTGCATTTCCTCACACCTACAATGGCTTCTGTCTCAGAGTATAGGTCTCCTGAGCTCAAATTATGCACTTTCTTGCTGAGCCAGGATGGTAAGGAATTATCATATGCCTATCAAAGAGAAATGCTTTGTTACTTTCATGTCAGATTTTCTTCTATTGAGAATTGGGGTGGGCAGGACAAGGAGCAAATCAGAATGCTCTCTGTATCAGTTTGCTTTTCTCCAGTCAGTCCTCAGCCTTCTCTCTGAGAAATAAGTTCTTCTTTTCTCCCATTCAGTGGTAATTATTCTCTTTTAAGTTAATGCCAGATTGAAAAGGCCCTTGGGTACCCAAAACAGTGGATGAAAACTTACCCAGATAAAGGCACGGAACTGAAAGTTCAGAACTTGGAGGCTGAGAAGAGCCTTCAAACTTGCAAAGTATCGGGGAGAGAGAGAGTATGGGGGGGGGAGAGAGATTTTCCTTGCACATGGCATCCACCAGCACTGCCAGGAGTGATTCCTGAGTAAAGAGCCAGAAGTAAGCCCTGAGCACCATTTCTCCCACCAAAATTTTTTTTCAAGGGGAAAACGATGTATTAGAAGGACCGGAACTCAGAATACATTAACATTTCTCATAGCAATACTAAGGCGGTAAAAGACTGCTTTCAAAATTCCACAGAACAATTTATTTTCAATTGAGAATTCTACTCCCAGATAAACTCTCGTAGTTAAGAGACTGCAGATATTTTCATACTTATGAAGTTTCAACAATTTTATCCATCAAGCGCTCTCAGGAAACTACTGGGCACCCTCCATCAAAAGATTAAACCTAATGAGTTATACCTATATGCCACCACCACCGTCACCTACGAGCCCTATTTCAGAGACTCAGAAACAAATCTCAAAAGAAACCAACTAAACGCAGTAATTTCTTGGATGCCCGGATCCCAGTTGAGACTTCCGGGGTGATCTCGGGACAGAGACAAGCCAAGAACCAACCCTATCAAAGCCCCGGCAGCTGCGTTCACATTCCAACAGCTGCCACCTCTGGCCAGACTGCCCAGTAAACAGTCACGGTCCCAGTCCTACCATTGTTCATCGATTTGTTCGAGCGGGCCCTGTAGCATCTCCATCGTGAGACTTGTTGTTACTGTGTTTGGCATATTGAATACGTCACGGGTAGCTTGCCATGCTTTGCCGTGCGGGCAAGATACTCTGGGTAGCTTGCCGGGCTCTATGCAGGGGCGGAAGAATTGAACCTGCCTTGGCCGGGCCGGATGTGTGCAAGGCAAACGCCCTACTGCTGTGCTATCACTCCAGCCCAGTAAAATAATCTGAATTTTCGGAGCGCATCTCTAAACTCTACAAGACTGAAATCACTGTAATAACACACAAGATTATATGGGATTTAACAGAGAACCAACTAATTTTGACTAACAAAAACAATACAGAAGACCCAACTAGCAACAACAGCTTAGTGAACCCTTGTACAAGGACTTAATGTCCCCATGGTGAGATACAACAATTTTCACAAATTTTCTTTTACTAAGTAATTTTTGCTCATTCTATTAGCCATTTAGTGGTAACAAACAACATAAAATCAATTATTGTGGGCCTGCTATGTACAGGGACAGGCTTGAGGGGTGGCTGGGAAAATGGAGGGCAGGTGACAGTGGTGGTGGGATGGGTGTTGGAATATTGAGTGCCTGTAACAAATCATCATGAATAACTTTGCAAACCACAGTGTTTAAATAAAGTGGGGAAATACCCATTATTTGTTGTAAAAAGAAAAAAAATAAGGCTAAGTTCATAAGAGGAAAAGGCATGACACTTAAAAAATAGGAGCAGCAACACAGATGAGAAGGAAGTGTCACGGCTCTCTGTAGGATGATGGCAGAGGAAAATCAGAGAATAAAACTTACATCCCAGGGAGGGCAACCAAGGTCAAAAGTGGCCATGCATTTCAGATACAAGCAAGCTGAGACTGTGCCCTCTTTCCCGGTAGCCATTCTTATCTTAGCACTAGCACTAGCACTGTCCTCCCGTTGTTCATCGATTTGCTCGAGCGGGCCCAGTAACGTCTCCATTGTGAGACTTGTTGTTACTGTGTTTGGCATATCGAATGTGTCATGGGTAGCTTGCCAGGCTTTGCCATGCAGGCGAGATACTCTCAGTAGCTTGCCGGGCTATTTGAGAGGGGCGGAGGAATCGAACCTGGCTCGACCAGGACGGCCACGCGCAAGGCAAATGCCCTACTGCTGTGCTATCACTCCAGCTTATCTTAACCTATTGAAATAATCTTAGGATAAATGCCGCTAAAAGAACGAATCAGGGAAGGAGAATAAGGGAGTTGGAGAGACAGTACAGTAGGTAAAGTGCTTGCCTTGCACATGGCACTCATGCTTGATCCTCAGCACCTCTAATGTCCTCCAAGTCCGCCACTCTATGGTCCTCCAAGCCCACCACTCTATGGTCTTCCGAGCCGGCCAGGAGTCTCATCTGAGCTCAGAACCAGGAGGAAGCACTGAGCACCACCCCTTTCCCCCAAAAAAGAAACTGTAACTACAGCCCAATGGGCCCAGATAGAATACTCTTTGTCCCTAAGAAGATAAGTGGACAGATATTCAGGGGTATGATCAACAGTATAGAAACTTGTATTGTGAGGCCACGGGAAGGTATAGGAAAGAAGCAAAACAAATGAAAGTATTGGGCCGCTATTTTACTGTTAGAAAAAAAGAAAAAATAAAATATGAGAATACATTCTTTATATGCTATATGCTCAGCTGGAAATAATATTTGCAAACATATAATGACATAAAAAGTGAGTGCGAATTTAACTAACACACAATTATATTGACTGATAGAGGAAGTAAAGCAGAGGACTTGTGATTAAAAATGGCTAAAAACTCATCCTCTTTCTTAAGAGAAAATCAACAGATATTAAATCAAGTCGATGCATCCAAGGATAGGGGCATACACATTATCGAAATATGGAGGCATGTACCTGTCATGATAAATCATTAAAAATATGGAGAGGAGCCAAAAGGATTTGGGGTCAGTGGGGAGGGGGGGAATGGAACGTTTGCATTTGGTGTCTTTTAGGATTCTTTGACTTTGAGATTCTGCTCATGTGTTGCTTTGATTAAAAAAGAAATTATTTGAGGAGGTAGAAAAGAGTGAAGAGCATACATGGCATTTCCAAACCCTTTGCTTTGGCCATCATGGAAAGTATGTCCCGAGTGGAGTGGACAGCACCGAAGACATGGCTATCTTCTTTCTTCTTACAAAGAGGGGGAAGAGAGCATTTCAAAGATGTGCTTTGCAGGAGGTGGTTGATATATTGGTCCAGGTCATCTGGGCTTTCTGTAATTAGGTGGGAGGAAGAGGAAATGTAAACAAGCTGCAGAAATATTTTAAATGAACATTATTCTAAGTAGAACATTCTAGTACATGTGTATAGCATGTAGCCCTGAAGTAGAATTTGTGGATGGGAATGTTTCGTTTTTTGAGGTTTTTTGTTTTGTTTTGTTTTGTTTTTGCTTTGGGTCACACCCGGCATTGCACAGGGGTTACTCCTGGCTGCTGTACTCAGGAATTACTCCTGGCAGTGCTCGGGGGACCATATAGGATGGTGGGAATCGAATTCAGGTTGGCTACGTGCAAGGCAAACACCCTATCTGCTGTGCTATCTCTCCAGCCCCTGGATGGAAATGTTTTGATATAGAGGTTTGCACTTCACCCTCAGAGAGATATTTGCATAGATAACGTTTGTGTTTATAACATTATTATTTGGGAAAAACTCGAACTTAGGGAATGAAAACACAGTAAAGACAGCGTTTCTATCACATTATCCTAAGATGAAGCAAAAACAGTGTAAGACAGTGTGAGGGTCAGCAGCCAATACCTGATGTTTTTATTTTTAGTTTGTCAAGAATAAGTTAAGTGTTATGGCACCTCAAGCCCCAATTTCAAATACTCTCTAAAAGTAAGAAACAGGTCACTGCAATCCAAACTGTATTCAGTTTCATCATTCATCATTCTACCCTTTCTTTGAAAAGCCAAGCAGTGCTTCGCGTTCAGAATATATTTGGGTGGAAAGTCCTCATCCTCGAAAGTCTTTCTGGCTCTATAGTTTTCAAAAAGCCTCTCCCAAGCTAGAGAGATAGCACAGGGCTGAGGTGCTCACCTTGCACGAGGCCTGCTCTGATTCACTCCAGGGCACCACGAGGTCCTCCCAAGACAAAGCTGGGAGTAGCCTGCAAGCACTACTGGATGCGGCTCACACTCTCCTCCAAATAAAACTTATTTGAAAGCAACTCTATGTTGTAGTCAAGGTGTTCAAATGGCATTTAATTTGCTTTAATACATGCAAGTCTTTATCATGATAATTACCGATTATTTTCTGTGCAGGAATTTTCGACAATTTTGATCACAAAGCTGAGAATGAAATAAATTGAATGAACCACCTGCAGAGGCATTGCAACCCTCACCTTGGTTCCCCTGGTTATATACATCTTCCAAATAGCCTCCCAAATCTGAGTCGCTGTCAGGACTCAAGCTGCCTTCACTGGCATCGTCAAACAACTTTTCATCACAGTCCGGATCCAGAAAGGTCAGGTAGGTGTAGAAAGACGTCGTGAGAAATTCCGAAAGGCTCCCCAATTTCACTCTGTCGAAGAGACACGGTGTTACACGTACAGGTGCCACGTGGCCACATTTCCACTCTGAATCATGCGGAGACTTTCAACAACCAGGTGGCGCTTCTGCCAGGATCAATAAACACGTCACCATTCAGACTGCCCCATCTAAGTCAGCCAAGAAATTAAAACGAAAACTCGAGAGCAAGGATAAAGTGAAAACACACAGCACATTAAACGCCAAAATGAGTCATGCGGATTTCTTACTCCCAAACCCAATACAAATAACAATCTGAACCGACCAGTTGACAGAACGCACTGAACCCTTTTCACCCAGAACCACCAGTTGGGTTGTTGTTTCTGCTTCCTCCTTTGCCCTAAAAATGATGGGACTAGAACAAAAGCACAAGCAACTGCTCTAGGGCTGGTCACCCGGTCCTTGAATGTTTGAGTCCCTACCACTGAACAGTGACAGGGGCATAGGCCTGGGTAAGGAAGTGTCTCGGAGTCGAATCTCTCTTGAAGGAATGCCAAGCACAGAACATTCCCAGACTACCACGTGGGTTCCCCAGGACCCTAGTGCATTGCCAGACTGGAGAATGTTCCATAGAAAACTTTGAGCGGGGCTGGAGCGACAGAACAGCACGTAGGGCGTTTGCCTTGCATGCGGCCGACCCAGGTTCGATTCCCAGCATCCCACATGGTCCCCTGAGCACTGCCAGGAGTAATTCCTGAGTGCAGAGCCAGGAGTAACCCCTGTGAATCACTGGGTGTGACAAAAAAAAAAGTAAACTGTGAGCTGTATTTCCCACGTTGGGTCCTGCCACAAAGACAACAGCCTCTGGGCTGTGCAGGTCCCCCGGATGGCACATCCTGAGTGCAAACAGGAAGGAGCAGGAGTCAGAATGCCTGGGAGCTCCCGGCAGCAGATGATGTCACAAGAGCAAATGGACGTGAGAGATGCAAATGAATTCCTAAATGCACACACTCTGGCAGCAAGTGGGCACCTTTAAGAAGCACTGCAGGGAGAGCTAGAAAAGTCTTCCTGTATAAATTGAAAATGAATCACTGGGCTACACCCAGGCTTTGCAGGTGGGAGGCCTGGGTTGGATTCCCCAGCACCACAAGGAGCTGTCCCTAAAATTCCGCGAGGAGGAGCGCTGCTGTGTGAGGCTCCAAACTAGAATCAAAACAACCTCTAGGGAGAACTCAGAACTCTGAAAACTCTGAGAACTCTGGGGCCAGTTCTGATCATTGCTTTGTTTTGGCCTGAGCTTGGTAGGTAGGGCAGAGAAGGTGGCAAATTTCTGTGGGGTGAAGTCGAAAGGGGTCAATTCCAAGGTTTCAGGCAGCAAGTGAGGGGGACAATCTGGCAACTTGAGTGCTTTTGAAAAAAGGCGTATCTGGGGGTTTGGTAGGGTGCTTGCTTTGCGTGTGGCTGACTTGGGTTCAATCCCTGGCAGTTCATATGGTCCCCCAAGTGCAGCCAGGAGTAATACTTGAATGCAGAGCAAGGAACCACTGAGCATTGCCGGGTGTGCCCTCCCTATCCCCACCCCAAAACAAAGTTTATTTGGGGCACACACTCCCAGTCGTGCCTGAAGATGCCCTCAGGATAGAAAGGTTTTGAGTTAAATACGGTAATCTTGCCACAGAGGCCACATCCAGGGATGGGACTGCCTCTGTGGGCCTGGGTGCAGTGGTACTGGGGTTCGAACCCAGGCCTCCCTCATGCAAGGGACACACTCAGCCCTTTGAGTTATCTCCTTTTTCTTTTCTTTTTTTTTGAAGTAAATAGATTTTTATTTGGACGGTTTTTGAGGGAGAGAGACAGAGAGAGAGAGAGAGAGAGAGAGAGAGAGAGAGACATGCTCAAGAGAGAATGTGGGTTTCTCCAAATGTGGAGAGAACCCCCAGATACATCCCATGAAAGTTATTAGACACTAAAGCATGAAAGCACACATCTCAAGAAGGGAGATGCGGGCGACACATGTGCTCGGGCACCACATGTGCTCAGCCACGTGGGCGCAAGCAGCACATGGGCTCAGGCAGCATATGTGCCTCAGATCCTTTTTCTTAAGGATCCTCAAACCTGGAGGAAATGTGAAATGAGAGTCTACCTTAATTACCCAAAAACTCTGTGGGGCAAGTAGATAGGCAGGTGGTGGGGGCTTCGGCAATAACTTTCAAGAAGTCATAAACCAAGATCTGACCTTGAGGCAGCAGGTAGGCAGGGGGCCCTGAGTTCCGGGAAGTAATAAAAACAAGATACTGATCTAGAGATATGAAGTTACTCTGTTGTCAGCCCCAAAGCAGCCCTAAAGCACAAAGGCTGAACCCCCTTCGGAGATAGAGACAGAGGCCCTGAGACTTGATAAGAGTCTGAATGTAGTCCACACCAGTCCAGGACATGAACCCAGAGAAGTTGGACCCTGCAGAAGAGAACAAAAGGGCGAAATAAGAAGATGAAAGACAGGAGGAATCCAAACTAACAACTCTCACTTAGTCTACTGGTGGCTGGAGCAGTTGGGAAACACGGTACGAAGCTGCAAAAGCGAATTGCACACATTCCTCTAGGACCCTGCACTTCAACATGGGTGCATAATTACTTTCTTTTGGTGGGGATGGAATGTGCACATACTTGGGCATGTTCATGCTGTGCTCAGGAGCGACCCCTGGTGGTGCTCAGGGGACTATCGGCAGTACCTGGCTGCCCCTGGCAATTCCTTTGTTTTCTTTCATGGGGCCCTCTGTTCCTCTCTCCACATTCTGTCTTGAATTCTCCCTCCCCTTTTAACAAAATTTCTTTACTTTACTATTTGTCTTTTCAAAAACTGTTCCTTTTTGTTTTGTTGCATAGGGGCCACAGCCAGCAGTGCTCAGGGCTTACTCTTGGTTCTGTGCTCAGGGATCACTCCTGGCAGAGCTCAGGGGACCACAGTGGTATTATGGATCAATCCTGGGCTGGCTATGTGCAAGGCAAACCCCTATTTGCTGTACTATTGATCTCATCCCAAATTCTTTATTGCAAGGTTTGACAATGACTCTGGAGAGTGGCCTGAGGTTGTGATGGACCTCCCTTTTCTGCAAAGAGCAATCCCATGCCCTTGCCTGAGGCCATGGCTGCCCCATAATCCCAATGGTGGGGACCAGTTCCCACACAGTCAGATGATGAGGACCTAGGATATGGTTTAATGACTGTCTCAGTGACAGGGTTGGGCGGGGGCAGGTGGGGGGCGGGTCTTAAGGAGGGGCAGACTTCATTCTTTTCATTAAGTTTCTTACCCACAGAAGGGGAGCACAGCTCAGGGACAGAGTGAAGGGCACATGACAGAACCCATTCTAAGCAGCGGGGTTCAGTGTCCTTCCGAAAACGAGAGCAGTGCAATGAAAGAACTGGTTTCCAGAGGGGTGGGGAGACCACTTAGTGCCACCAGCCAGGAAACTCTGTGTCCCTGGTCCCCAGTGCTGCCTGTGCTTTATGGGCACACAACAGCCGTGTGTGTGAGCAATACAACTAAAGGGCACAACAGCGAGCGAGGACCACGGCGACTAAGATGTGTGAGCCTCACAAGGAGCCCTGCTGAGCCTCACAACTGCAGGAGCACATGTGCAACTGCAGTTCCACCCCACCGAGCACTGCAGCTGAGTGTGGGAGCACCACACCCTGATGTGTGACCTCCAGTGCGCGAGCAACACAACCAACACGTGAGAGCGCTACAACCAACGGGAGGGAGGCTGCCACCCTGATCATCACAACCGCGCCAGCAGGGCCGGGAGAAACTGAATGTGAAAAGCGGTCGCCACCATCTTCTCTTTATTACAGTATCATATGCCTGGCCGGAGGGATGAAAGCAGCCCAGCGCCCTGGAAACACAGATGGCTGGGAGACAGGCTGGGAGAAGTCAGGGGTGTGGGCCACTCGGGGCCGACAGCAACCCCCTCAGCGGGCTCTGTGAGCAGAGAGGCCCCCTTGGGGCTTCCAAACCCAGTTCCTGAACCATGAGGCCATCAAGCAAGGTGCAACACCAGGCCCAGAGACATTTGGACCAATCAGAAGAGGGTTCTAGAAATGGAAGGTCGGCTAGGGGCTGCAGAGCAAGGAACGGGGAGTCGTTCCAATGGCGCAGAGCTGCTGCCCATCAGGCAAGCGTGCTTAGCCCTGCTGAACTGGGAATGTTCAAGCGGCCACGAGGGCACAGAAGAAACCCAGGTCTCGCGACAACTGCAGTGGAGACAAACGTGAAAGGGTTTATGGGTAGCTGAGCGCCCCCATGGCCCTAACACCTGAGTGTCATTCCGCCCCAGGAGGACAGGCTAGGGGGCCCCTGACAATGGCCTAGGTGCTGTGCTCTGAGGACCCTGTGGTCACACATGTTTCCCAAAGAGCGCTTCAGAGACGGCTCTCTCCACCTCCCTGAGCCCCAAACTTCCTAGCGCCCATAAAAATTTCACATTCGTCCCTTACACATGCTGTTTCAGAGTACATTCCAGCTTCCCAAGCCTGGCTGCTTTAGGCAAGCTGCGTTAAAAACAAAACAAAAAACAAAAAAGCATAGCTGCATTTGTGGCTCGAAATTTGTAGGTTTCTAACCACTCTGAGAAATGACCGTGGTGCTGCCCTGTTTACACGTTACCTCGCTCCACCGAAATAGCCGTCCTCTAATTTTCGAATGGTAGAAAGAACCGCAGAATGAATGTCCGAGCCGTCATTTGCTAAGGGTGGGGTGGTGGGGGGAAAGATATGTTAGTTGACATATTCTGGGCACACCTGTTTTCTTCCACATGTGTAATCTGACAACACACGCAGGGCAGAGAACATTCCCCAATTAAGAAGCCAAACTGCCGAGAAGGCCCTGCAGTATTGAACTGGGGGGAGGGGAGGGGCTGGGAGAGTCGGGGTGGGACCCCAGCATCAAGTTACTGAGCATGGTGTGCGTGATGGGGAAGGTGAGCGTGGGCCGGCCTGTCATGCGCCAGCAGGTACACAGGTGCGCCAGCTCGATCCGCAGCATCTCCACCATCATGTCGTTGTCCAGGGCCAGGTAGAAGTGGTGCTGGTCGGTGAACTGCAAGGAAAGCGAGAGCATGCTGGGTAAAGGGTCCGCCCTGGCTTCCGCCGCACAACTCCACTTGTCCCTCCTAGCAGCAGTCTTGGGTTCCCAGAGAAGAGGCTCCCTGGGGCTGGCCTGAGTCCCATCCTGGGGCTCTCCCTGCCACCAGACCAATCGATGGATGGGCCTCCATCATCGGGGAAGAGGCGGGCCCAGCGGGAGTGATTTACAGCTGCCAGGCGAGCGCCTTAAGCACCTGCCCGAGCCTGCTGTCTCTGCAAGGAGATCAATAGCGCCTGAGTTCCTCCTCCTGCCAGGGCTGCTGCCCCAGAGATGCTTCCCAAGCGAGGGCACCGAGAGCAGGCAAGCTGGGGAGCCTCCGTTCATCTGATGGATGGCCCGCTTAATGTCAACTAAAGGCGCTGCCCCCTGAGGTCGATGAAAATCCAATTGTTCTCCTGGTCTCGAGACCAGCCCCTGCTCAGCTCAGCTTTGTCATTGCTTCCGAAAGAAAACAACTCCCCGGGTGGAAGCGAGTGTCACCGGACACAGTCAACATGGGGTTCTGACCCTTAACCGGGTGGCTGATGCCCTCCCCACCAGAGTAGGAGGGCTGAGCCACACACGGAGACAACCGCTATTGGTTCTTCTAGCTGAGCAGACGGGTAGAAGCATTTGGTCTGGACTGGTTTCCTTTACAAAGGGAGGTTACACAATCAGTATCTTGAGGAGCCCGTCAGGGGCGCTGGGGCCTGTGAATCAGCCTGGACGCGATTGCAGAGGCTCTGAGGACAGAATAATCAAGGGTCACAGCGACTGTGCCTCAGGGTACCAGGGCAGCGAGTCAACTGCTCCAGCACCGGCAACTTGAAAGCAGTGGCTGGATTTGTCCCTGCGACTGAAGCGACACGCGCAATCCAGAGTCTCTGAGGAAAGCTGTTCTGGGTCAGATGCCTGCCACACACCAAGGGGCATCCAGACAGAAAGGGACCCTCAAACCATACCTGATTGTCTCACCTGGGGTGTGAAGGTGAAGATCTGGTTCCTGATGACATAGAGTTTCGAGGTTCCGAGGATACCAATGTGCCGATAAGGCCGCCCACTCAATTTCATATTCTTATTCCTTCCTATTTGAAAAGGCAAAGAGAAAGGGGGCAAGGGCAAATGCTGAACCCAAGTCATTTCCGTTTCCATTTGCAGGGGGCTGGGGTGCTCATTTTGCCGCTAAGCTTTCTACAGTTGGGGGCAGGTTTTCTAATGTTCTTCTCCTTCTTGAAAAGGGGACAAGGATGGTTTGCAAACCAGCACTACCAGGTAAACACCGGAAGAGCACCCATTCCAACAGCCACATGAAATGAAGCCATTATTCAAAGGAGTAGAAGTGCCATGGGAACTGATTGAGTACTGAGTCATAATGCTTAAACCAAGTCCAATTTCAGAAAACGTCTGGAGGCCCCTCTCCCGTTTTAACGGGTAAAGGAGCACTTTCTGGGCTGCAGAAGAGAATTAGAATAATCTCTCTCTATGTGTGTCTATGACTGTCTGTCTGTCTGTCTGTCTCTCTCTCTCTCTCTCTCTCTCTTTCTTTCTCTCTCTCACACAAACACATACATGCACTCATGCGCACACACACAATGGTCCTAAAGGGGTCTTTCTAAGGGTGCTCCTTCTCTTCCAACAGACCTAGCTGAGCTGCAGCAGCATTACCCCAGTGGGCACAGGAAGCAAGTGCCTGTTTGCCCACAGCCCCAACCCGGAAGTACTGGCCCCCTGCTTGAGTATGCCCAACATACATCGGGCTGGAGCAATAGCACAGCGGGTAGGGTGTTTGCCTTGCACAAAGCCAACATGGCCAACCCAAGTTCTATTCCTCTGCCCCTCTCGGAGAGCCGAGCAAGCTACCGGAGTATCTCGCCCACACGGCAAAGCCTGGCAAGCTACCCGTGACGTATTCGATATGCCAAACACAGTAACAACAAAGTCTCACAATGGAGATGTTACTGGGCCCACTCAAGAAAATAAATGAACTATGGGAGGACAGTAACAGTGACATATATCAGTCTCCCCAGGACCCCACCACAATCCTTCTGAATCAAGATGCCCTATCACCAGGAATACCTTGCAATGGCCCACACCTACCAAGCTTGGCATAGAGGTGACTGAGGATGCGGCCCGGCTGGACGCGGATGGGGTGAATGTCAGCGATACTCTGGACATGGATCCCGTGTTTCCCCAACAACTCCTTAATGTGATCGTTCTCGGCCAGCACAGTCACTAAAGAAGAATGCGGAGTCCACGTCAGAGCGGGCCCTGGCCCTCATGCATGGGAGGTCCTGATAAAGCTCTTCTTGGGCCTGGACACACACCGGTAGCAGGCTCGCCATACACCAGTGCCCTCCACACTCATGACACACAGGTACCAAGTGCCTTCCATGTGCCGGACAGTCTGACCCCATCTCAAATAATGCCTCTCCTGTGTGTCTCTGCCCCTGCTCCCCCCAAAAGGCAGCAAAGAAGAGTGATGGCGTAGTACGTGCTGGCTGTGGACACTCTGACACGGTGGACTGTGTGTGTGGCGGCGGGATCTTTGCCCCCCGAGAGATGGGAAAATGGGCCTGCTGATAGGACATTGGGATGGGGAGCAACCTGGTCGTGCAAGCCTGAAGTACTGAAGCAAGTACTGAAGGTGTTGAAGGGGTGTGGGAGAGGTGCCAGACGCCCTGGAGAATCCTCCCTGGACAGAAGGTGGAGATAGGACCTGGGGAAGTGGGTGCTCGCTGGGCCACACTCAGCAGCCAGAGCTGGCATGTGGCGATCCCAGTTTGTCTCCAGACCCACCTGACCAGGTGCCTGGCCATGGCTGGAGAGGAGGCAGGAGGAGACAGGTGGGAACCAAGCCGGGAGCCCTGCAGGACCCAAGACCACACGGGGAGTGCAAGAACCCAGCTTGTTCCTGTACTTGCAACCAGGGAGGGAGACGTGCTCAGCGGTCACCTGTGTCCCAGCTTGCAGTGTGGGTGTGGTCTCAAGAAGACGATGGCTTTGTGCAAAGTATCATGGTGGTGGTGTTGCCTTTAGGAGCTACTGAGTTGTACCAGGTGGTTCACCAAAGTAACTGACATCACACACATACTCATTAAACTGGAATACCAGGAGCCGTTTGTGTTAAGAATAACATTGGTTTGGGGTTAGGGAGAGGGTTCAAAGGCCTTTGTACGTCTCTACATGCAGGAGGCCCAGGTGCCATCCCCAGCATTGATGGGTGTGGCTCCCAATAACAATCTGCTTTTCTGTTTGTAAGTCAAACCTGGTGGTACTGAGGGTTGACTCCTAACTCTGTGCTCAGGGGAGCACTTCTGGCAGTGCTCAGGGGACCATATTGGGTGCTAGGGATAAAACCCAGGTTGGCCGTGCTCAAGGCAAACATCTTACTGGCTGTACTACAGCTCCGGCCCCTAGCATTGCTTTTACAAGTTTAAACAGTAGTAAAGATGCTTCCAAACCTTGTACCACGACATCAGGTTTGACAGAAGTGGAAAATCTTCGATTTAAAGGATCGATTTCACCCACAGCCAGGAATCCCTAGGAAAGAGCAGAAGACGCACTGTGAAGCACTAGGAAGCTGAGGGCTACTTCCCCTTCCACCGAAATTTTGGGGCCATCTCTTTGGATGCCCGGCATGCCCAGAATTTTTCTCCTTTTAATTTCTAAGCCAATGTCTCTTTGCTCGGAAACAGTGTTGCAGACAGCCATGGACGCAGGAATTTCCAAGGCAAATCTCTCTGACACTTCCGGGACTGGTCAGCCCGTACTCATTCTCCCATGGATGAGAATGGCAGGAGCAGCTGACCCTGCGGTGGGTCTCGTGTACAATGGACACCCCAGCTCAGTCCAAACCATGAAGATGTCAACACTTTCACAGCTGCTCTGGCAGACGGTCCCACTGGGCTCTTCCAGGGTCCCCCGTGTTGCATAGGACACGGGTCCCAGCATAGGCAGCTCCCGCGTGCCTACCTCTGCCAGCAGTGAGCTGAGGATGTACAAGGACTGGCCCCACAGGTGGGGCAGCTTCCCCAAGGGCACCCTGTCCACCGTGTGAGGATTCTTATACTCTTCGTCCACCTACAAGAGAAAAAGCACAGGGCCAGAGAGGTAGTAGGGCGGGGCGGGCGCTTAATCTCGGCTGCCCCAGATTTGATCCCTGGAACCTGATTGGAGCCTGCCGGAAGTGGCTCCTGAACACAGAGCCAGGAATAAGCCCTGAGCACCAAGGGGGGTGGCCCCAAAACACATAGAAAGAAAGAAGGGCGGGGATGGGGTGGATGCAGAAGGTAAAAAAGAAAGGCAAGCACAAACACGTGAAAGCTTTACCAAATGCTATTCTTTACTCTTCCAGGCCATTCCCTGTGAGGACTGGGGTCCAGAGGCCAAGGGTGGCTGCCTCATCTAGACCTGCTTCCCGTCACTGCTCTATCCGCCCCCCCCCCCACACACACACACACATCCCACTGATGGTAAGAAACAGAGTCATCGCAATGCCAGCCTTCTCACTGCACAGATCGGAGCAGCAAGAACTTCCGCAGTCCAGCCTTGCATTTGGCTGCTTTATCGGGACAATGATCTCATCCGACAGCTGCAGCACAGCATCGGGGATGCTTAGTCAGGTTTCTTGGAGCTTGCCATCGCCAAGGGTTCAAACTCTGCGTGCAGTGCAAGGAGCCGATCAGAAGGTGGCGCTATTTATAGAGGCTCAACCACCACTGCCTACAGCACTCATTTTTTTTCCATCGGGGTCTCAAAAAGCTGAATCCATTGGGGTCCTGATCATCTGAATAAACTACAGTCCTCTTTCTGCCGGAAGGTGCTAGGCGAACATTACAAAAGTTAGGGTGCGGGGCAGCAGTACAGTGGGGAGAGCATTTGGCTTGCATGTGTCCTACTGGGTTCGATCCCCAGTACCACATACGAGTTCCCTGAGCATCACCAGGAGTGATCCCTGAGTGCAGAGCCAGGAGTAAGTTCTGAGTTCAGCCGGGTGTAGCCCAAAAACAAAACAAAAAAAAATTTTTTTTTAAAAGAGTCTGCAATGTTCCCTGCTGGAAACGGCAGGCTGACCTTTGGGTTTTAGTCATTACAGCTAGTCACCACGCTGTTCCGTCCAGAACACAAAAGTCTGTCAAGGGCAATGGAAACAGTCTTTTTCCAAAAGGACAAATAGTACCAGGAGGGGAGCCATTGTCTGCCCGGCATTCATCAGTGATACTGTTAACATTTACGAACCACGCAGCACTAGTAAACAGAAGACAACCTTCGCCACTTAAACCGAACACAACAGAAAGAAATGTCACTTGTCATCCGATGCCTTCCACAACACTATGGAAGGAGATTCTCCCAAATGCCCTAGTGGCTACTTTACAGCAGTGTGATGACTAAGAAAGCATTTCTTCTCTCTGTGGAAGCCTGGATGCTTCACAACACACAGATTCTTACAATCAGACCTTACACTGAAGGGACTTGAAGTGTAAGAGGCGCAAAGAGAGAACGGGGCGGGGGGGGGGGGCGTTGATAGAAAGAAAGATAATTCTAGAATGAGAACAGATAAGATAAAAGACAAAATCTGCAATGAGGAAAACAAAATCAAACAGAACGAAAGGCAGACAGGTGTCTGGGCCCAAATCAGCTTTGCTCTGCTCCCCTGCTCCCTCTGCAGGCCTTCCCAATGGCGTGCAGGTCCCCAGACGCCCCATGCCTTTGCTGCCACTCATGTCTGCCTCCGTGCCAGCCACTAGCTCCTCCTGGTAGCCAGGGAGCCTACAAGCCGGAAGACACTAGCTGGATCCACGCTAGAATAAGTGCTAGACTCTCTGCTAGCCCTCGAGCCTGAACAAACAGGGCTGACGGGTGCAGCAGTGAGCCATCATCCTGAGCTGGATGCCCAGTGAGGCAGCAGCCAGGCATGCACTGTTGGTCTCCAGCTGTCCACTGGCAGTCCCAGGATGATGTCTGTCTGAGAGAAGGAGTGAGGCTGACATCCAAACTGGATGCCACCTTGGCCCAGGGCTGTGGCCACTCCAAGGACAGGGGCAGCCTGTGTGATCCCACCTGCAGGGAACCGGGCAGGCTACATCCCAGTGGTCACTGTATGTTCCCGGTGTGATGGAGCAGTCTTCCCAGAGATAACCTGGAAGCAGCCCATGGCAGCTGTGGTCAACATACAATGGCCTGCTAGCTTCTGGCGGCCACAGCTGGGGGGAGTGAAGTTGGTCATGACACGTAGAAACCCAAAAGTTAGCATGCGGAATTTAGAAGCAAGAAAACTGCAGATGGGGCCAGAGCCATAATATAGCAGGTAGGGCATTTGCCTTGCACACGACCAACTCCCAGCACCCCGTACGGTTTCCCAAGCACTTCCAGCAGTAACTCCTGAGTGCAGAGCCAAGAGTTACCCTGAAAATCACTGGGTGTGGTTCAAAAACAAATAAACATAAAAGTTGGGGAGCATGTTTGACTCCCTGTTGTCAGGGCTGTTCATCAGAAAGAAAAGCACAGCTTGGGGTGGAGAGGGTACAGAGAGATAGCACAGCGGGTAGGTCACTTGCCTTGCAGGTGGCTGACCCGGGGTCAATGCCCAGCATCCCATATGGTACCCCGAACACTGCCAGGAATATTCCTTAGTGCAGAGCCAGGAGGAACCCATGAGAATCACTGGGTATGACCCAAAAAACAAGAAAGAAAGAAAGAAAGAAAGAAAGAAAGAAAGAAAGAAAGAGGGAGGGAGGGAGAAAGAAAGAAAGAAAAGAAAAGAAAGAAAGAAGAGAGAGGAAGGGAGGGAGGAAGGAGGAAGGAAGGAAGGGAGGAAGGGAAAGAGGAAGGTAGGGAGGAAGGGAGGAAGGAAGGAGGGAGGAAGGGAGGGAGGGAAAGAGGAAGAAAAGGAGGAAGGGAGGAAGGGAGGGAAGGAGGAAGGGAGGGAGGGAGGGAGGGAGGGAGGAAGGAAGGAAGAAAGAAAGAAAAAAGAAAGAAAGGAGAGAAAGAAGGGAGGAAGGAAGGAAGGGAGGGAGGGAGGGAGGGAGGGAGGGGGAAGGGAGGAAGGGAGGGAGGGAGGGAGGGGGAAGGGAGGAAGGGAGGGAGGGAGGGAGGAAGGAAGGAAGGGAGGAAGGGAAAGAGGAATGTAGGGAGGAAGGGAGGAAGGAAGGTATGGAGGGAGGAAGGGAGGGAGGAAAAGAGGAAGGAAGGGAGGAAGGGAGGAAGGGAGGGAAGGAGGAAGGGAGGGAGGGAGGGAGGGAGGGAGGGAGGGAGGAAGGAAGAAAGAAAGAAAGAAAGAAAGAAAGGAGAGAAGGGAGGAAGGAAGGAAGGAAGGAAGGAAGGGAGGGAGGGAGGGAGGGATGGAGGAAGGGAGGGAGGGAGGAAAGAATGAAGGAAGGGAGGGAGGGAGGGAGGGATGGAGGAAGGGAGGGAGGGAGGGAGGGAGTAAGGGAGGGAGGGAGGGATGGAGGAAGGGAGGGAGGGAGGGATGGAGTAAGGGAGGGAGGGAGGAAGGGAGGAAGGAAGGTATGGAGGGAGGGAAGGGATGGAGAGAAAGAGGGAGGGAGGGAGGGAAAGAGGAAGGAAGGGAGGGAGGGAGGGAGAGAAAGAGGGAGGGAGGGAGGGAAAGAGGAAGGAAGGGAGGGAGGGAGGGAGGAAGGAAGGAAGGAAGGAAGGAAGGAAGGAAGGATGGATGGAAGGGAGGGAGGAAGGAAGGATGGAACGAAGGATGGAAGGGAGGGAGGAAGGGGGAAGGGAGGGAGGGAGGGAGGGAAGGAAGGAAGGAAGGAAGGAAGGAAGGAAGGAGAGAAAGACAAAGCACAGGTTGGGCCAAGTTGATGCTCAAAGGGCTGGAACATGGACATCGCGTGAGGGCATCCCACGGCTAATCATTGGCATTGCATGATTCCCCCACCCCCTCCCAGCATCTCTGGGAGAGAATCCCAAGCACTGCTGGGTGTGGCCCACAAAGCGGGGGGGGGGGGGGGGGGGAAGCTGCTTATACCACCCAGAGGGCACAGGCAGAACGTCATTTCTTTCCCCTTCCTCTGCTTTGGGTTCTGAAGTCCCTCCTGCTGCTACTTCTCTTGTGCCAATGCCCCAGGCGGGCAAGGGACTGGCCTTCCCGGGTGTGTGCTTGCAGGTGTCTCTGCACCCACACATTCCCACAAAGCCCCTTGCCAGTGCCCCAGTCCTCAGCTTCCATAGAGAGGGAGAGGATGAGGATTCTCCAGCACTCGGGGAGGCCCTGAATTTGGGATGTGGTCTCAGGAGGGGCCAGGCCTCTGGTCAGACCAGAAGGGCCACATTCAACCACAGAACTCCTAACCCCCAAGCTGGGCTCTGATCCCCCACAAACCCTGGGGGTTGGGGGGCAGGGGGGTGCTCTCTGAACTCTCCTCCTTCCTCCAAAGCAACAAGGAAGGTGAGAAATCACACGGGCCATGAATCCCTGGAAACAGGACACGTGCGGAGGGCCACCGTCCCACAATAAGTCCTTCAAGACCCCGTTGAAGAAAGTGAGTCATGTGGAACCCAGTTCTCTGTGGGGCCCTTCCCGGGAGTGGCGGGGTCCTGGTCCCCGGCAGAGAACTGCAGCAAAGGCTATGATCATGCGGAATCGCGAGACCCTAAAGAACAAGGGCTGCGTGAGCCCTGTGCGGCTGTCCCCAGTGTCCGAGGAGACACTGGCCACTTCCCCCTGGGGTGGCGCACGAGCGTGTGCATTGTCAAGGTCTTTCGCTCTAGGCTCAGGGCCCCATCAAGCATGGCTCTGACACCGCCACTCCGGGCATGGAGAGGAGCATCCTCAGAGTGTTGGCAATCCCTCATCCAGGGAGTCTGTGACAACGCAAATCGTGCAGGGGCCCAGCCGCAGCCGGTCGCCCGCCGCTTACCTTGTGGGGTGGGATGGCGTAGAGTTCAGGCACCAGGCGGATTCCGTTCTTGCCTCTGATTAATACTCCCTCCAGGGCCTCCCGGTATTCCTGGATCTGGAAAAGAACCCCCCATCCGGGCCCCAGTGCTGTGGAAGGGGGCTGGGAGTGGCGGTATGTATGGTGACAGGACACGCAAGCACGCTGTTCCGGCCACAGAGAGGTCAGGGGCCAGGTCCCAAGCCAGCCATGTGCACTGACCTCCAGTTCCTGGAGGGTCGGGGGCCTCTTGCTAAGAGCCCGCGTCACGAGTCACTGCCACAGCTGCCTTTCACTCATAAATATTTCACGCTTCTTGCAGCTTTAAATCTTGCCTTGCCAGCTAGATTATAAGCTGCTTGGAATGGAGGCCAGATCCTAAAATAGCAGCTCTCATTTCCGCCCACTGCTACTTTTCCACGTCCAAGACCCTCATTCAAACATTTCTTGCTCAAGAAAGAGCTGCTGAAGAAATGTGAGGTGAGGGCAAGGAAGTCGGGTGCCACCAACCCTGGGTCCCAGCCTCAAAAGGCAGCGCCCATAGCACCCACACTGGGGCGCTGAGGTGGCACAGTGCTAGAGTATGTCTTTTTGGTTTGGTTTGGTTTGGTTTGGGGACCATACCTGGCAGTGCTCCGGGCTTACTCCTGGCTCTCTGCTCAGGGATCACTCTGGGCAGTGCTTAGGGGATCATCAGGGGTACCAGGGATTGAACCCAAGTTGGCCATCTGCCAGGCAAGTGTCCTACCCGCCGTACTATGTCTCCAGCACCCCCAAGAGCATGTCTTGCACGACACACACACACACACACACACACACACACTATTAAAAAGCAATAATATAATCCTTTCTACTGAGGAGGGGGAAAAGGAAGAAAATAGAGTCTTAGGTATGCGGGTTCCAGGACTAAGACTTCAGGCCTCACGGTAGTGGCAGAGGAGTCGGTCTGTCCCTCCCTCCCCATCTCCCCCCCCCCCCGTCCCCCTCCACCTTGCCCTCCCCCCACTCTGTCTTTGGGGTCTTAGCTGTCACACCCACAAGCTGCCTCCGGGAACCATCTCAGCACACCAACGACCTTGGTCCAGAGACTCCCAAATGAATCCCCAAATGGATTAGCGCCCTACAGAGATGTCTCTGCACCCCAACTATTTACAATTTTAGAATTCCAGAAGCGCGCGGCTGTGTGAACTCTCATGATATTTCAAGTAAGCAATAGAAAATAAATGATCTAGTGTCTGCCCCTGGCAGGCAGGCTTGAATGGTGCTAGAGGGAAAATGTGAGCAAACTATAATGCCCCAAAGCAGAGAGAGAGAGTATCTGGGAAAATGCCATAGAGGCAGGGGGAGGGCTGGGATTGGGGTAGGGGATACCGGGAACACTGGTAGTGGAAAGTGTGCACTGGTAGAGGGATGGGTGCTCGATCATTGTATGGCTGAAACTCAAACATGAAAGCTTTGGAACTGCATCTCATGGTGATTTAATAAAAAAATAACTAAAAGGGGCTGGAGCGATAGCACAGTGGGTAGGGCGTTTGCCTTGCACGCAGCCGACCCGGGTTCGATCCCCAGCATCCCATATGGTCCCCCGAGCACCGCCGGGAGTGATTCCTGAGTGCATGAGACAGGAGTAACCCCTGTGCATCGCCAGGTGTGACCCAAAAAAGCAAAAAAAAAAAAATTAAAATAAAATAAATAAATAAATAAATAAAAGAAAGCGGAGTCTTGAGCAGCCACTTGGGTGGTTCATTAGCATACTCCCCCTCCCCTTTGCCATATTTCCTTTCCCGATATTTCCCCTTCCAGAGCTCCTTTTCTTTTCTTGTAATTTTTGTTTTGCCTTTTGGGCCACACCCAGCGATGCACAGGGGTTATTCCTGGCTCTGCACTCAGGAATTACTCCTGGATGTGCTCGGGGGAACATATGGGATGCTGAGACTCGAACCCCGGCTCTGCACTCAGGAATTACTCCTGGATGTGCTCAGGGGAACATATGGGATGCTGAGACTCGAACCCCGGCTCTGCACTCAGGAATTACTCCTGGATGTGCTCGGGGGAACATATGGGATGCTGAGAATCGAACCCCGGTCGGCTGCCTGCAAGACAAACGCCCTATGCGTTGTGCTATTGCTCCAGCCCCTCCTGTAAGTCCTGCAGAGCCCAGACATGGTGTCAGTGGGAAGCAGGTAGGAGAAAAAAATGAGAGGTAAAAGTCACAGGTTTCGTGAGGCTGAGAAACAGAGGCACCAACGCGGACAGTCTTTTTCATTCTTACTAAATCTCCTTAGCTTTTTATGGGGAGTTGTTTCTGATCCTCATCAAGCCTGCTCATAAAAGACATTCAAACCGACTCCTTTTGGCGATCATTTGGTTCTGGGATAAAAAGACAAAACCCAAGATCATCACTGAAGTCTCAGAGGAAGATTCAACAGGGGGAAATATGAATATTCCAAGCGTGCTGCCCTCTCAGAAGCCAAAATAAATCTCTGAATGCAGCATCGGGGAGCAGAACAGCCTGGAAAAACCCAGCTACGCTGGGCCACTCACAAGAGCTTCTCCTGGGCATGTGCAAATTGCTCTCCCAAGCATGCTCAGGCACAGAGTCAATGCTAAAATATGCACTAAAGTGTCTACAGTAACTACTTCCGGGGCACTCGCTGTGGACCCGGCATGAGTGACATGCCAGGGACTAGACAGAGACCACCTCTACCAGGTTCCCGTCACAGGTAAGTGAAGGGTTTAGACAGACTGAACCACGCTGTTATGTGAGCTCACTTGTAAGGGACAGACACCTGACTCAGATTTGTTTGTTTGGGGTCCACGCCCAGCAGGTCTCGGGGCAACGCCCAGTTTTGTGCTCCAGAGTTTCTCCCACTGGTGCTGGGGGGAGGGACCAGGAGGAGCAGGGCATGGAACCCAGGACCCCTGCAAGCACAGCAGAGCTAGTGATGGGGCCCCAGTTCCAGCTTTCTGCAAGGGGCCCACTGCCAGGGAGTGAAGTGAGCAGGGCATCTGAGCAAGGGAGCGCCCCGTCCCCACACGACACTGCAAAAGGAAAGCGCTGGACCAAACATGATAACCTCTCAGGGTCTGTATTGCAAACCATAATGCACAAAAGTAGAGAGAGAGTATGGGGAATCATGTCTGCCATGGAGGCAGGGGAGGGTGGGAAAGGGGGGTATACTGGGGATATTGGTGGTGGGGAATGTGCACTGGTGGAGGGATGGGTGTTTGATCATTGTGTGATTGTAACCCAAACATGAAAGCTTATAACTATCTCACGGTGATTCAATAAAATTAAAAAAAAAACTTTCTCAGGTTAGATGTGTGCAGAAAGTAGATAAAGGACCAAACATGATAACCTCTCGGAGTCTGTATTGCAAACCATAATGCCCAAAAGTAGAGAGAGATGATGGGGAATCATGTCTGCCATGGAGGCAGGGGGGGTGGGAAAGGGGGGTAAACTGGGGATACTGGTGGTAGGGAATGTGCACTGGTGGAGGGATGGGTGTTTGATCATTGTGTGATTGTGACCCAAACATGAAAGCTTGTAACTATCTCACTGCGATTCAATAAAATTTCCAAAAACAACAACAACAACAAAAAACAAACAAAAGGAAAGCTCAAGCGAGCAATGAGGCGGTGATGGGATGATGGGGCGGCCAAACAAGCAAGAACCAGCACTTCTCCACCCCCCCTCCCCGGCTCCTCCGGTTCCTCCCAGCAATCAGGAAGCCATTCAGGGCGCTGCGGCAAGGCAGCAATAGCAGGAATGGGCCTTTTAAAAAGCTCCCTCTGGCCTGTGCTGTGGGGAGCGGAGACAGCAGGGAGCAAGGCGGGAGGCCGAGACCCCCAACTCAGAGGTTTCTATTAAACAAGACATTAGCTAGGAGGGCCCTCAGACCCAGCTCAAAACATTCTCCCCTCCACACGCCCGACAGGGTGCTGAGCGAAACGCGTCAGCAACCAGGGAGCCTGGCAGCCGCGCCACTCCTTGACAGCCCCTGAAGCTCATGTCCTGGGTCTGTGCATCGTCCATGCTCCCCCCCCACAACCCGAGGCAGGGGACCTACGGAACCAGAGCACACAACCCCAGGGCTGCTGGGCCAGTTCTGGGCCGAAGCTTCAAGAAAGAGCACCAATTTTGGGGGCCGGAGCAATAGCACAGCGGGAAGGGAGTTCAGTCCCCAGCATCCCATAGGGTTCCCCGAGCACTGCCAGGAGTAATTCCTGAGTGCAGAGCCAGGAGTAACCCATGTGTCCCCTGCATTGCTGGGTTTGACTCCAAAAAGCAAACAGATAGATAGATAGATAGATAGAGAGAGAGAGAGAGAGAGAGCACCAGCTTCTGCATTCTCGGGGAAGTTGAGCTACATGGAAAAGAACTGAAGTCCCCACCCGGCTGGGCTCATTCACTGCCAGGATTAACCTGCCAGCCAGGCTGACTGGGCCCCAGATCCCAGACTAAGCAGATTCCCACTGCCCCCCCCCCCGCCCCAACCCCCTCCTCACGCTGCCTGCACACCCCAGAGGAAAGGAATGCAATCATCACTGCCCTCAGCCCTCAGATTTGGGGGAGATCTGTGAGGGAAAAGCAAACAGGGCCCTGAATCCCTGCCACTAACCAGCATGGAGAACTGCAGCCCCGCCTCACCTGCACAGCGTTGCCGCTGAAGAGGCCATCGATGATGAAATAGGTCCAGAACAGAGGCCACTCACACTCAATGTTCTCAAAGAGCTTGAGCTCGGCAGGGTCATAATGCAATCGATTTGGGTCCTGAAATCAAACAGGCAGACCTTCTAGAAAGGTCCAAGTCAGCTGACACACCACAGCACCAGTCAAGCTCCCTGGGTCCCCGTGCTCCCCAGCCCATCTGACTCTGTGGGGCTGTAAGATAGGGAGGATCCTGGTTCCGCTAACGGGAGATGTTCTGCCCGTAGTCAGAAGAGAAAAATCAGAAATTTACACAAGACTCTCCGGTAGTTTATTGCATTACAGCCTTCTATATCTCTAGCAAATAAACAGCAATTTGCTAAGCACAGGGCTTGGCAGACTGCTTTATTGATATCATTATATCAGTCACAGTGCCACAGCAACCCAGGGAGAAGCCCGCGGTTGGTCCTTTAAAAGCGCGTGAGCTCCGGGACTGTTTGTCTATAAGCGGTTTCTAACCACCAGCCTGCTGCCCTCTTGATGATCTTGCTATTCTACTTAGCCTAACTCCAGGCTTGCTGCCTCCAAAATTAAGACGTCCCTTTCCAATGTTCCAACATGTAATTATAATCAATAGAGGGAGAACACCACAGTGGCAACTTGGCACCAAACAGCTAAGGAATGAGAAGAAACAATATTTAAATACAACCTCTCTTGGGGTTTTATAACCATCACGGAGGAAACGGCAGCATCCATATCGTCCCTAAGAAGATAAAGAAAAATCACTTTCATTTGAGGAAATGAGAGGAATGTCCTGCCTTTCCATTTTCATTCACGCCCGCCCATCAATCTCCTTTCCTGTGATTTTTTTTTTTTTTTGGTAGCAGAGGTGGCTGGGCTCGAACTCAGGATTGGCTGCTCTACCTTCGAGCCGACCCCCATGAGTCTTTTGGTAATGAGAAGTGCACAAGTGCTCCATTCTGCCAGTAGCACTGCACTGTAGCACTGTCTTCCCGTTGTTCATCGATTTGCTCAAGCGGGCCCAGTAGTGTCTCCATTTTTTGAGACTTGTTACTGTGTTTGGCATATTGAATACGTCACGGGTAGCTTGCCAGGTTTTGCTGTGCGGGCGAGATACTCCGGTAGCTTGCCGGGCTCTCCGAGAGGGGCGGAGGAATCGAACCTGGCTTGGCCGGGCCGGCTGCACGCATGGCAAATGCCCTACTGCTTTGTTATCGCTCCAGCCCGTTCTGTCAGTAGTGTTTTTAAATTTTTATTTTGAAGGGGCAGGACTGGGGTTATTCTGTGTCTATGCCTGGCTCTGTGCTCAAGAGTCACTGAGATCAAACCAGGGTGAGCCAAGTGCAAGGTGAAGTGCTCTCTCTCTCTCTCCTCTCTCTCTCTCCTCTCTCTCTCTCTCTCTCTCTCTCTCTCTCTCTCTCTCTCTCTCTCTCTCTCTCCCTCCAGTCACTGAAGTAATATTGAAGGCCAGAGATCTCCGTGAGCAAAAGTGGGGCACCAACTTTATACACAGGAAGCCTGCTTCCATCTCCGACACCAAGTGCGTCCCTGAACATGGCCAGGAGCGAAGCCCCAGACGGGAGTAGACCCTACCCAAGGTTGAACGTGGTCCCAAGCAAAACAAAACTCAAGTTCTCTGTTTTTTGCTTTTTGGGTCACACCTGCCAATGCTCAGGGGTTAAGTCCTGGCTCTACACTCAGGAATTACTCCTGGCGGTGCCCGGGGGACCATATGGGATGCTGGGGATCGAACCCAGGTTGGCCGCATGCAAGGCAAACGCCCTACCTGCTGTACTATCACTCCGGCCCTCAAGTTCTCTTAAAGTAATAATACCCCGTGTAAACTGAGGGCTTTGTATGAGTGCACAGTGGCGGAGTGCAGTGTCGCTCTGGCTATTTCGGGCACGGTGCAAAGGGGCCCCTCCACGAGGACAAGCTGTCGAGGCAGAAACTGGGTGGACTGCTTCTCCTGGAGGACGGTCTGCAGTCCCAGGCGGCTGCCGGGACGGGGCGGGAGGTGGGTGGCTCCTCGGTGTCCAGAAAGGGGAGCCTTGCCAGCACTCTCTCCTGCCTCCATGTCCCCAGGATGGCAACACAGGCTTGGGGGGCAGGAGGAGGGGCCACGAAGGCCGGCTAGTGCTGACAACTTTCAGGGCTCGGCACGCCCCCTTGTGGCCATGTCTAGATTGTTCTGGAAGCTGCTCCTCTGTTAAACGGGTCACTCCCTGCCTACTTCCAAGACCCAGAGGTCCTCTTTTGCCACTAAAGGCAACAGGAGACAGCCACCTTCTTTGGGGGATATAAGTGATGATCCTTTAACCCTTTTTTTCCAAGGTGGCATTTTTCACTGAGTCTACGTAGGATCTCCAATATGCAGATTTCGGCCCATGAAGCTTTGGTAATTTTACTGCTAATGCCAGCTGGCTGGAGGATTAAAAGGTAAAAGGTAAAGGCCCTCCCGTTGATCGTCGATTTGCTCGAGCGGGCCCAGTAACGTCTCCATTGGAGACTTTGTTGTTACTGTGTCTGGCATATCGAATACTCTCGGTAGCTTGCCGGGCTCTCCGAGAGGGGCGGAGGAATCGAACTCGGGTTGGCCATGTTGGCCGCTTGTAAGGCGAACGCCCTACCCGCTGTGCTATCGCTCCAGCCTACCAATTACTTTATTACCAATCTTTTATTACCAATACAATCTTCAGCTCGAGCGGGCCCAGTAACGTCTCCATTGGAGACTTTGTTGTTACTGTGTCTGGCATATCGAATACTCTCGGTAGCTTGCCGGGCTCTCCGAGAGGGGCGGAGGAATCGAACTCGGGTCGGCCATGTTGGCCACGTGTAAGGAGAACGCCCTATCGCTCCAGCTGGAGGATTAAGTAACATTATTTTCAGTTCGGTGGAATGTGTCAGAGTTACTGCATTTTACCCCAGAGCAGGGATGTCCTTAAGCTCAAATGAATCTTGAAATTTCCAAGTTCCCTGAAATGGGTATGTAAGGTTTGAGAACATTGGGACAAGGACATTTTTTTCAGATACGAACTTGAAGCTTTTAAGAGATTCTCAAAGGACTGTGTCTGTGATCTCTCAGGAGTTAAAAAGCTTGGGCAATGGTAGTGGTACCAAGTGAGGCTCATAGATGAGGTTTTGGCTTAGGGGTCAAAGTTTACTCCTCAGAAGAGAATGAAGTCCTTTGATCCGTTTGAGGCTATATCCTTGATGTGGCCTCTGCTTTGGACACCTCCCTCTAGGAGGCCACTGAGATTGAGACCAGTCCAGTCGCCAATATCATGGCAGGCCCAGGCATCGAAGAGCTGCTCCATGCCATACGGTTGAAGTGGCACTTAAGACAAGACAGAATGGCACCAGGATGGCCACTGCTTACCTGAAGCTTGGAAATAATCTCATTTTTGGTCACATTCACGAGGTTTATATCTTCTACAGCAAAGGCAGGGAAGGAAATAATGGAAAGCAGCCCCGAGTCGATCTCTTTCGATGTGGACGCTCTGGGCAGCATGGAGAACAGAATTGACTGAAAAACAAATAGGCAACTCTGAGCAGGGAAACCCTAAGAGAAACAGGGTCTAGAAAACACAAATGACCTTAGTGCCTGGCATCTGCCCATATTGAGTAGAGATCGGGCCTACCAATAGGGCCCATGGGCCGTCGCCTACCCAGCCAAAGCCAGAGACTGCTGTCCCTTGGGGGAGAGGGGGGTGCAGGGAGCGCAGAAAGCAGCCTTTAGCTGACTCTGTGCGGCACTTGAGGAGAGAAACCACCAAGCAACCTGCTCGAGAGCTCTCCAGGCAAGACGGAAACTGGGGACATTGATGGGGGACAGTGGGGGATTTAGTGCTGGAGCATGGTAAGCCTGAAACCCAAACGTGAATAACTTTGTCACTCATGGTGACTAAATAAAAAAAATTTTTTTTAAATAGAACTGGTATAGGCTGGAGTGATAGCACAGCGGGTAGGGCGTTTGCCTTGCATGCAGCCAACCTGGTCGACCCGAGTTCGATTCCTCAGCCCCTTCGGAGAGCCCGGCAAGCTACCGAGAGTATCTCGCCCACACGGCAGAGCCTGGCAAGCTCCCCGTGACGTATTCGATATGCCAGACACAGTAACAACAAGGTCTCACAATGGAGACGTTACTGGGCCCGCTCGAGCAACTTGATGAACAATGGGAGGAAGTGCTACAAGAAGTGCTACAGTGTAGTTCTGCAGAGAATGGGTGACTTAATGGCACTAATGAGCTCAATATAAGGTGGCTGGATGGGGCACTGTAAACTGAAGGGGGCTGAGATTATAGGGGAAAGTTCCGGAAGGGCGGGGAAGGGAATGAACACCAAGAGTTAACATGCACAGACATGAGAACACAGTCCTGCAACATTCGCTTCTCAAATCTCCCTTAGGAAGAGGGAATTCAGGTATGTGAGCAATTCATACACGCAAAGTCAGCATCTGAGAACAGGGCCGTGAGGCTTGAAACATGCAGCCAGCAGCGGGAACGGGGCTTCTCAGCCAGGCCTTCCCTCCTGGCCATGCTCCCACAACAACCCCTGGAGCAGGTCTTCAAGCCCACTCCGTGGACCCGGCTGACTCACAGGCAGAGGAAGGCTGAAAACCACAGGTCTGACCAGTTGTTCTACCTGCTTACTGCTCCACCTGATCCACAGGCTGGTTCTTAGGACAGGCCGTGTTCCACAGGTATAAAAAGGCTGGAGCATACTGCACTAGCCTGCACAACCACTAACATGCAACCAGCTCGAGTCTGTGTAACTCCACCCTGCTTACTCTCCACTAAGCTCATGAACTGGAGGGTAGAATGCCAATAAGGTGTGGGGGCAGAGGGGAGAGATTCTTCAGCTTCGAAATAAACCTTCCTTTTCAGTAGTGACTGACCAGCCCATTCTAAGCCGGCTCCGGAACTATTCTCCGCCGCCCAGGTGCCCTCGTTACTAGCTGCTCCAGACCCTCCCCCTCCCCCCCCCCCCCCCCCCCCCCCCACCACCAACGACTGTCATAGCACCTGGCACACCGTGGGCCTTGCTAAACAAGACTTGGTTGACTGATGTGCTGTCTGCTTAACGAAACATCCTGGGCCACATGAAATGATTCCTTTCTTTGATGTGACCTTCGCCAAGGCAGAATTTCCCCCAATTTGCCATTTTCCTTTATTTCATCTCCCTTCTACTCTCTAAGTCTGCCCCTGTCTCCAGCCCAACTAGTGCTTGTCATTCAATTTGGGGGCATTGAAGGAAGAAGGAAAGAAAGAAAGAAAGAAAGAAAGAAAGAAAGAAAGAAAGAGAGAGAGAGAAAGAAGGAAAGAAAGACAGAAAGAAAGAAAGAAAGAAAGAAAGAAAGAAAGAAAGAAAGAAAGAACGAGAGAGAGAGTGGAAATCCTCAATGTGCTAAAAGACTCCTCTACCCTACTCTGCAAAAGAAGTTTGCCTTGATGGCTGGCCTCATGTTGTCAATGGTTTGGTGTCTTTTTTTTTTTCTTTTTGGGTCACACTCAGTGATGCTCAGGAATTACTCACACTCAGGAATTTGAGTCACACTCCTCACTCTGCACTCAGGAATTACTCCTGCTGGTGCTCGGGGGACCATACGGGATGTCGGGGATTGAACTTGGGTTGGCCGCATGCAAGGCAAACACCCTACCTGCTGTACTATGGCTCCAGCCCGACCACAGTGTGTTTTAAGGAGGTTTGCTCCACGGCTTGGAAGCTGGCCTCACATGCTGGAGGAAGAGGCAGCTCAGATAGAGAAGGGAACACCGAGTAAAGTGTAGTTGGAGGACCCGCTTGGGATGGGAGATGCATGCTGAAAGTAGACTATAGGTGGAACACAATGGCCACTCAATACCTCTATTACAAACCACAGCACCCAAAAGGAGAGAGAGAACAAAAGGGAATGCCCTGCCACAGAGGTGGGGTGGGATGGGGGGGATGGAGGATGGGGGGGATGGGGGATGGATGGGAGGGATACTGGGATCATCGGTGGTGGAGAATGGGCACTGGTGGAGGAATGGGTACTCGATCATTGTGTGACTGGAATGCAAGCACGAAAGTTTTTAAGCCTGTAACTGTACCTCACAGTGATTCACTAATAAAATTTTTTTGTTTTGTTTTTTTGTTTGTTATATTTATTGAATCACTGTGGGAAAAATTACAAAGCTTTCAAGATTAAGTCTCGGTCATACAGTGATCAAACACCTTTCCCTCCACCAGTACTTATTTTTCACCACCAAGAAACCCAATATACCCCCCTCCCACCCCTCCCAATGCCTGGGAGGCAGATGATTTCTACTTAACTCTCTCTCTACTTTGATTACATTCATTATTTCGACAAAAGAGGCATCATTATTGTTTAGAATTTCACCCCAACAATCAGAACTGCTGAAAATATTTCTTTTTCTATAGCTGGTTATGATAACCATATGATTTTGGATTTCTGATACTTTACCAGGTAAGTCTGGAGGGATTTCTGCCAAGAGTCAGATAATTACAAGATTGGTTTCTGTGCCTCTGGTGTTATGGCCATGCAGGAGAGCCACTCATGGGGTGGGGGGGGGGGGGGAACTTGTGACCTCGGTAGGGCATGAAGGATGAGCCGGTACCTCCCTCCTTCCCATGAGACTGCAGTTGCCATCTCACCGCCAGCTCATACCTGGCTTTCCAATAAACTCTGAGGCGGTGGCCACCTTGCTGGGGGGGTGAGGGGGGAGGAAGGCGGAAGGGAGCAACACCCTTTCCCTCCTGGGGAGGCATGGCACCATGGTTTAACGCATAGTCCATTCACTTTTCTGCCGCAAGCTGCCGGGCTCTGGATTAAGTCCTTTTGCCTCTGGAGGCATGGCCGTGCCGGAGAGCCACTCATGGATAATAATTTTTTTTAAAAAGTGAGCAACATGCTCTCTTTTCACAAACTGCTTTGACTTGCTCTGATCCTTAAGGCCACCTGGTATGGGCAGGAGGGCAAGGTCTCAGATGCTCATTTTGGGGGTGAGGGAACTGAGCACAACAGTGCCAAGGAGGACCAAGCTACAAAGGACTGCAGGGCAGGTTCCAGGACTCTCTGGGGCTCTCAAGGTGAGGGCTACCTGGCAGTGTTCAACCTCATCTGGCAGGACGTGGATCACTGACTTGCGGGCTCCATGGGCTCCAAAGAGATCCAGCTCATCGATCGCCTCGAGTGCTGCCTACAAACACACAGAAGAGTTACTTTTGCTATCCAGGGAACGTCCACTCCCCTACCTCCTACTCCTTTCACATTAAGTAATCAAGTGTGCAGGTTTGGCCAAAAGTGATGAGGCACATTAAAATCCAGCTCAGGACACAGTCACGTTTTAGCCTTATTGCCAGTGGATGACAACTCGCCTCTATGTTGCTGCTCCCGGTGAGAAGAAGTAGCAAAGAGGAAACAGAAAAACATCTGGCCAAATCACATGACTGTCCTACCAAAAAAAATCTAACAAACTTTAACAAGTTCATAACATGTGTCAGACACACACACGTTATGAACTAATGCTCATGGTCCAGTCTCTTTCACCTATGTCACCACTGATCTTCTAAGCTTTGCATATCTGGCACTGATGGAATTCTTGGGCTAGGAAGATTGCTCAATGGGCCAGAGCACATGCATTGCATGGGGGAGCCCCAGAGTCAACCCAGCACCACCTGGTCCCCCAAGCACAGCTGGGAGTGGCCTCTAAGCACCGTGCCAGGCATAGCGCATGAGCATCATTGGGTGTGGTTCCCGAGCAAAACCAAAATTAATTATTTTAATATGAAAGCATGTGCCCTATGCCAGTAGACCTTAACAGAAAATATTTATTTTTGCATTAAAATTCCTAGCTCTAGAGTCTTGACACTGTCTGAAAATACACTTCAGTCTTGAGCAGGGCAGATGAATAAAGCAGAGGCAAAAGAGGTAACTGGAGGCGGCAGAGCGAGTCTGCCCTGTGGGCCATGTCATATATGGCCTAAGAAGTTTCCTAAGGGCTCTGGGTTCCGTTATGTCTCGCCACGAGTCGAACTCATCCACCTGACTTGGCCCTCAGACCCCCAGAGACTCCTCAACTCTCCGAACTCCCACCAACCAAACCGATTTCAGCTGAAAATCACAAGGAAATCGGGGGAGTCAGCATCAGAGGACCTGTGGGAAAAGGCTTCTAGCTCCTTTACACGACTGCTACACCATCCCCAGCAATTTGTTGGGCTCCTGATTGAAGTTCTCCTGAGATAAACGTTCCCTGTATCCCCACTCCTGTCCATATTTTTCAATCTGGCCCACTTCACTTATTAGTGCTGTGTGACTTTTTCTTTTATGCTTCTTGGGTTACACCTGGCGATGCACAGGGGTTACTCCTGGCTCATGGACTCAGGAATTACTCCTGGCAGTGCTCGGGGAACCATATGGGATGCTGGGAATAGAACCCAGGTCAGCCGTGTGCAAGGCAAACACCCTACCCGCTGTGCTATTGCTCCAGCCCCGCTGTGTGACTTTCGAATTTGTACCCTTTCAAGTGGTACCACCCTTCAGCTGTCTTTGTGACTTGGGAAAAAAAAGACTGGGAATGGGGGTCCCCACTCCAGCTTCTTAAATACACAACAATGGATCAGAAGGGCACAGCACCCTTACTTCCAGGCAGATTTCCATTTAAGCGACCTATTTTCCTCGCCTATTGTACTCTGCTAGGTTACTGTGCCACTGGAATTTCAGGCTTGCTGTCAACTTTGGAAACCTGTGCTAATCAGATTAAATCCACACCCCCAAAAGGTGAAATCCAAATCAAAGCAGTAAAGACACAAAAGGAATAAAAATCCAAAGGGGCCCATCACCTTGGCCATTCCAACAGAGCTCGCATTCAATTCGGGGATGCCTTGATTCGTCTTATCGCCACGTTCCCACATTCCGTAGTCCTGGGGGAGAGAAAGGGAGAAGTCAGAGCAGAAGAAAAAAAATAGTCCCTGAGAAGTGCCATGGAAAATGGTTCCTTTATGTTAACACAGGCAGCATGAAACACAAATAAGTTATCTGGAAGGCCACCAGCCTCACTGCTTGACAGAGCCAGACTGCCTTCTTCCTTGACTCTGGTTCATCTGACATCAGAGCAGGCTTTTGAAAGTAAATGTTCAAGAGGGACAAAACTACATGTGAAAATGCTCTTAAGGGGACCGAAAGGTAGTACGATGAATAGGGTATTAGCTTTGTACGTGGCCAACCTGGCATCCCATTATGGTCCTCTAAGCACCACCAGGAGTGAACCCTGAGTACCACTGGGTAGAACTCAAAAGCCAAAAAAAAAAAAATCAAGCCTCCAAAACAAAAACAAAAAATACACAAATAAAGAAAAACACTCTTAAATGCCCTATTCCTAAAAGTCACTAGTGTATTAGAAATCCTCTTAGAGAACAAAATAGTGTGTTTGGGATCAGAGAGATAGTACAGCAGGTAGGGCTCTTGTCTTGACCATAGCTGATCCAGGTTGGGCCTCCGGCATCCCATATGGTCCCACAAGTACTGCCAGGAGTGATTCCTGAGAGCACAACCAGCAGTAACCCATGAGCACCATTGGTGCTCAAAACTTAAAAAAAAAAAACCTTAAAAAACTTAAAAACTTTAAAAATCTAAAAAAAGTGTATTTATCTTCAAATCAAATAAAATGCTGCTCTTCTGACATTAAATTGTAAAGTGAAATAAAGAAACTAACAAATGGGCTTGACTAGCTGAAGCCAACCAAAGCATTTAAGATCACTTCCTATCCCTCTAGCATTACTACTCGGGGAAAAAATGCTCAGTAAGTAATGAGAGCTAAAGATAAACTCGAGGTGGCGAACACTGTGTGTCTCTGTTTTTCCCTTCAGCTCAGAACACTCAGTGCACACAGAGAACATTATCCACACACACGGAACTTCTAGAACTTCTTTAATCCTACTTTCCATTTCAATAACCCAAGCACCATTTTGCAAGATTATTGCATTTTGCATATTATTGGATGATCACAAGCCAAATAGATTGGGATCGAAGCCAGAATTGTGACTTTCATATGTTTAATCTCGAAAGATGAATATTTCCAAAGGGTGAGAACATAGGTCTCCTCCACCAGCTTCCATGCTGGCGGTAGGACCCCGTCTGCAGAACACGTCACAGCAGGGCCTTTCCTCCTCCTCCAATTCATCACCACTCCAACCTGGAGCCAAGTACTCAGCACCCTTACCCTCTAAGAGTCTAAAATGACAAACTGCTATTCCCTAGAGCCACAGCACTTGTGAGCCTTTCCATAAATGAACACTTGGGTCATTTTGAAATAAATTTCATCACAACTGATGATCGGTAGATAATTGATTTGTATATCTATTTTCTCTACCTGCTGGTGTCCATAAAGTTTCTTGGGTAAAGAATAGCTGAGATTCAATGAGATACCATCTCACACCTCAGAGACTGGCCCACATCCAAAAGAACAAAAGCAACCGATGCTGGTGCGGATGTGGCGAGAAAGGGACACTCTTTCACTGCTGGTGGGAATGTCGACTGGTTCAGCCTTTCTGGAAAACAGTATGGACGATTCTCAAAAAATTAGAAATTGAGCTCCCATTTGACCCAGCAATACCACTCCTGGGAATATATCCCAGAGAGGCAAAAATGTATAGTCGAAGTGATATCTGTACTTGTTTGTTCATTGCAGCACTCTTTACAATAGCCAGAACCTGGAAGAAACCTGAATGCCCAAGAACAGATGACTGGTTAAAGGAACTTTGGTACATCTACACAATGGAGTACTATGTAGCTGTTAGAAAAGATGAAGTCATGAAATTTACATACAAGTGGTACAACATGGAAAGTATCATGCTAAGCGAAATGAGTCAGAAAGAGAGGGATAGACATAGAAAGATTGCATTCATCTGGGGAATATAAAGAAACAAAATATGAGATTAATATCCAAGAATAGGTGAGATCAACACCAGGAGGATTACTCCATAGCTTAGAGGCCAGCCGGGCATTCTAGGGGAAAGGGCAGCTCAGATAGAGAAGGGAGCACCAAATAAAGGGTGTTTGGAGGATCCTCCCAGAAGGGGAGATGCATGTTGAAAGTAGACTATGGACTGAACATGTTTGACACTCAAAGCCTCTTTTGCAGACCACAACACCCAAAAGGAGAGAGAGAACACAGGGGATTGCCCTGCCACAGAGGCAGGGTGAGATGGGAGGGATGGGGGTGGGGGGGATATTATCCATGGTGGTGGAAAATGGGCACTGGTGGAGGGATGGGTATTTGATCACTGTATAATCGAAACCCAAGCACAAAAAATTGTAAATCTACAACTGTACCTCATGGTGTTTCACTAAAAATAATAAAAAAAAGAAAAAAAAAGAAAAAAGAGCACCCTCCCCCCAAAAAGCTGATTTGTTACAAAATAAAGTTTTGACACCTCAAAAAAAAAAGAATAGCTGAGATAAGTACCAGGAGGTTTACTCCATGGCTTGAGGCCAGCCGCACACGCTAGGGGAAAAGGCAGCTCAGATAGAGAAGGGAGAACCAAGTAAAGGGTGTTGGGAGGTTCCTCTCACAATGGGAGATGCGTGATGAGAGTAGACTATAGACCGAACATGATTGCCACTCAATGCCTCTTTTACAAACCACAGCACCCAAAAGGAGAGAGAACAAAAGGGAGTGCCCTGCCACGAGGCAGGGTGGGATTGGGGAGATGGGGGGTGGGAGGGATACTGGGATCATTGGTGGTGGAGAATGGGCACTGGTGGAGGGATGGGTACTCGGTCATTGTATAACTGAAACCCAAGCACAAACATTTATAAGTCTACAACTGTACCTCATGGTGTTTCACTAATAAAAATTTTTTAAAAAGTTTCTTGGGTAAAAAGGACAGAGGAAGAAGCAAAGGAAGAGGGAGCTCAGGTGGTGTCAGTTCTTGGGCTGATCATCCTCCATGGGCTGGTAGCCTCCTTGTACACCCACAGGATCATTGTATTCTATTATTATTATTATTATTATTATTATTATTATTATTATTATTTGCTTTTGGGGTCACACGCAGCAATGCACAGGGGTTACTCCTGGCTCTGCACTCAGGAATTACTCCTGGTGGTGCTTGGGGGACCATATGGGATGCTGGGAATCGAACTTATGTTGGCCTCGTTCATGGTAAACTCCCTACTTGCTGTGCTATGGCTCCAGCCCCACTCACTGTATTCTATACTATTCTCTGGAACCCAAATTTCACCATAGCCCTGCTCTCTTGACTCTGTGTGCCCTGCCCCTAAGCACACCCTGACATCTGCACAGAGCCTGTGGCCTGTCTCTAACTGTAAGGCCACTCAGATCCCCCTTGGTGCTCCAAGGTACGACTCAAGTTCCACCCTTTCCATAAGACTTAAGGGGGCTGGAGAGATAGTACAGGGGTTAGGGTACTTGCCATGCATGCAGCTGACCCTGATTTCATCCCTAGCACCACAAATGGTCACCTGCACACTGACAGGGCTGATCCCTGCGCAATGCTTGGACTGGCACCCAAACTACCCCAACGACAGCAAGACTTTCCTTTTCCATAGAGCGGTGTTGGTCACACTGAGCACCTGCTCATTTCGAGAAAATCCTTCTGGGTCGTGGGGCAGTCCAGTGCACTGTTGGGTGGGCAGCAGCATGTCAAGCCTCCCTAGTTGCCAGTTAGTGCCCACCCCTTGCAGACACTGCCCACAGCCCCTGGGATGGGGAGATGGTCCCTCGTACTCCCACTGAGAATCAATTGCTGTTCACCACTTCTATTGATCATCAAATATGTTTGGGACCCAGCTGCGCTGCACGTGCTTTGCTGGCACTGAAAAGCCGCAAACATTCACTCCCTGGCTCAGGACAGCTGCTCACTGACCCTGGCTTCGGACCTCAGTGGCTTCTTTCTCAAGCCAAATATTACCTTTTCCTTCCTAGCCCGACAACAAGCCTTGTAGTTCCCTTGTTCTTTTGGGTCAGGGGGCTGCCCCAACAGAGCCAGAGAAACTGGGTGTGCCAACCCTTCATCCCCCACACCCCTGGCCCACAGCATGGCTCAGAGCTGGCTGGATGCTCAGACCCCCTCCATCTGCGGGCCTGTGGGGTCTTAGTTGTAAACAAACATAATGCCCAGGAGATTCTCAAGGGCTGAGTGCCAGCTTCGCAGGGAGGAGCCCATGTTTGAGCCCAGCACGGCCTTGGTTCCCCCAAGCATCAAGCCAGGAGCAGTCCCTGAGCACCCATGGGTGTGACCCGAAACACCATAAAATAAAAAAATTAAAACTAAATAACAAAGTAAGCATAGAAGGGCTGGGGTGTAGCTCAGTGGCAGAGTGCTTGTCATGCACGTGGGAGGCCCTGGCTTCAATTCCCATTACCACCAAAAACACCACCCCCCAAAAAAAGAACAAAAAACTTTTCGCCATTACAAAGTCACCTGCCTCCCAGCTTGTAGGGATGGAGATTTTCTTCTTTTCATTTATGGCATTCTATCTCTCTCCCTCCTTCCCTCCTTTTCACTCTCTCTTTCTCTCTCGCTCATGTTTCCTCTTTCATATTTCCTAAATAAAACTATTTAGATAGCACAGCGGGTAGGGCGTTCGCCTTACAAGCGGCCAACATGGCCGACCCGAGTTCGATTCCTCCGCCCCTCTCGGAGAGCCCGGCAAGCTACCGAGAGTATTCGATATGCCAGACACAGTAACAACGAAGTCTCCAATGGAGACGTTACTGGGCCCGCTCGAGCAAATCGACGATCAACGGGAGGGCCTTTACCTTACCTTTACCTTACCTATTTAAGAAAAATAAACTTTAAATATTCAAATGAAGCATGAAATATATTCCCCTAAAGAAAAACTCCCCAACTACCTCTGTCCCAAGATAAAAACACATGCTTGGCATTCAGAGATGATGAATAATCTCACTAATCTTCCACTCAGCCCCCAACAGCCTGGCCCTCCTCAAACTATAGCTTTGTGTTTTGACAACTGGAAAGATAAACAGCGTTGATACTTACAGCAACTTTATATGCGGCTTCTATGTAAAAGACAAGATTCTGTACAAAAGCCACCTCATCAAGGGTGAAAATTATCCGTAAACCTAACAAGGAAAAGCAAACCATGTAGTTTATGAAGTTACATTGAAGAGCCAAATACCAATTACAAATACCATACTAGGTTAGAAATTCTTTCACACCTGGTGGTAGGGAATGTGCACTGGTGGAGGGATGGGTATTTGCTCGTTGTGTGATTGTAACCCAAACATGAAAACTTGTAACTATCTCACGGTGATTCAATAAAATTAAAAAAAAAAAAGAAATTCTTTCACACCCATTTTAGTTTTCTTACACAGCCATCAAAAATCTGAAGGTAAGTTCCAGGAGTGTGAACAGGAGTGAAGGAAGGGAGAAAAGGAGGGAGGGGGAGGAGAAAAGGGAGGGATAAAGTGGGAGGCAGGAAGGAAGCGGAGGAAGGAATAAAGGAATTGTTAAATCAGGTATAACCACTGATAAAGTCACTAAAGGTATTTTATGGATATATATGTATATATATCATGACCTTGAATTTTTAGTTTTGTTTTAGGAGTACCCCAAGTAGTTCTCAGGGTTCATGCCTGACTCTATACACAGAGATAACTCCTGGCTGGTTCAGGGGACCATAGGTGGTACCTGGATTGAATCTGGTCAGCCACATGCAAGGCCTTACCTGCTACACTCCTGCCTCGACCTTGAATTTTTTTTTTTACTTTTCTTTTTCTTTTTTTGCTTTTTGGCTCATACCCGGTGATATGTAGGTGTTACTCCTGGCTCTGCACTCAGGAATTACTCCTGGCGGTGCTCAGGGGGCTATATGAGATGCTGTGAATCGAACCCGGGTTGGCCGCATGCAAGGCAAACACCCTACCCACTGTGCTGTCACTCCAGCCCCTGAATTTTTTTTTTAAAAGCACACAAGAACCAAAAAGCCCCAGAGGACATCCTCCAAATAAAAAACTGGCAGTAGGATATTTTTCTCCCTGTACTTCATTGGCTTTATCCTGCAAAATATCTACAGCGAGCTCATTTAACCTTCATAACCAAAAAATCGTTTAAAATAAAGAGCCTGGTCCAGTCACAGAGAGATGCTCTGAGTGACCTCTGACCTCTTTAGGGTTGCATTTGCAGTCGGAAACATATGGGAAGCCTCTTTTAGGAGTGCTGGGGAGCTGGAGTGGGGACAAGAGCTCTGAGACACAGAGTGCAGTGACCTAAGCCCCGGGGGAGCATTGCAGCCAGCTCAGTGGAGGGCGAGGCCACTTGGCAGAGACTGCCCAGCGCGCTGGAGGCCTGGTGTCCAGGCTGCCACAGGAACAGCGTGAGCCTCGGTGAGTCTCAACAAAGATGATCCAGACTGCTGGGGCCCGCTGGACCTACCGCCAAGGTCCAGTGACTGGAAGAAGGGGAGGGAGGGCTGATATGATAATAACATAAGGAACTGCGGTTGGAGCAATAGACAGCGGGGAGGGCATTTGCCTTGCATGTTGCCAACCCAGGTTGGATCCCGGACATCGCATATGGTCCCCGGCACCACCAGGTGTAACCTCTGAGCATCACCTGGTGTGGTTAAAAAAAAAAAGGAAAGGGTGTGATGATCCTGGAGAAGAGAAAAAGAGGCAGCAATGCACTGCAGCTACTGGAACTGCTGAGGTGTAGGTTGATGTGGTCTTCAACCACTGGTGTGTAGACCACAGCCGATGCACAGGCGTAGAGAGGTTGAAAAGCACCCGCCTACTGCCTTGGTTGTATCTGCTACCCGGTGGCCCTATACATTGGACGCATCTCGTTGCACCGGTGTCAAAATGTTGAAGAACAGTAACAGAGCTGTGACAGTGACAGCAAGGAAGCTTTGGGGTCATGATAAAGAGATGCTCAGGAGGTCACTGTCAAAGAGCATGATGGAAGGAAGAGGCTGGCCGCTGTCCAGGCCTGACCAATGCCTGCCCCACAAAGGCCCACAGGGCCCCAGCTCACCAGAAGCGGTCATCTGGGCCAGGAACAGGAGGAAGAGGGAGGTGGCATCCACCTGGAGGTGGCCCCACTGGTCGTCGCCCACTACGGTGCTGCAGGTGGCGGTGTTGTACTTGGCGTGCAGGCTGTCCTTGGTACTCTGCGTGTACTTGAACTTCTCCACTTTGTCCACCTGCGGGAAGGAGGGTGAGCACGTGCGCCAGGCAGCTCTGCTCTTGGCTAAGGGGGTCGCGGAGGGCACAGCCCGGCTCTGCACTGCTGTCTCATGGGAGTGGACAATGAAGTGCAGTGCGTGTTGGGGTGCAGGGGGTATCTGTCCCCATCACAGAAATTCCAGTGGGATCCCAGCTCAGTGGGGTGTTAGCAAGTTACCTGATCAGCCCAAAGGGTCCCCAAGAATGATACCCAATAGGTATTCAGAGAGAAAGGAGGGAGGGAAGGAGGAAAGCGGGGTGGGGAGACCTGTTTAAATGTCAACTTCTGGGGCTGGAGCAATAGCACAGCAGATAGGGCGTTTGCCTTGCATGCGGCTGACCTGGGTTCGATTCCCAGCATCCCAGATGGTCCCCCAAGCACCGCCAGGAGTAATTCCTGAGTGCAGAGCCAGGAGTAAACCCTGAGCATCACCGGGTGTGACCCAAAGAAGCAAAAAATAAATAAATAATAGCACTGTAGCACTGTCCTCCCATTGTTCATCGATTTGCTCGAGTAGGCCCAGTAACATCTCCATTGTGAGATTTGTTGTTACTGTGTTTGGCATATCGAATACATCGTGGGTAGCTTGCTAGGCTTTGCTGTGCGGGTGAGATACTCTTGGTAGCTTGCTGGGCTTTCCGAGAGGGGCGGAGGAATCGAACCTGGGTCACCTGCGTGCAAGGCAAACACCCCTACCCGCTGTGCTATTGCTCCAGCAACAAATAAAATAAAGTCAAATTCTTGGTGTTTCTTATTTGGAAAGAATGAGTCTGTTTATTTCACTGAGGGCTCCCTAACAGTGCTCAGGGAACTTTGGGCCATTCTAGGCCATTCTAGGAGGATTCGGTGCTGCTCAGCCCCTGCAGTGTTGGGGTTTACCTGAGGCACCCTGCTGCTGCCCAGAGGCCTCCATGGCTGCACCCGGAGCACCTCGAGTGAGCAGAGGTCAGCGACATGCAGGCAAGCACCTCAGGCATCGGGTACACCAATGTCTTTTGACAACACTGCGCTTCTAGAAGAGAACTGACTGAGGAGCCTTTTTAGAAAGCAAAAGTAGGAAGAACAGTCTCTGGTGTTCTTTAGAGTGTGTGTGTGTGTGGGGGGGGGCACACCCTGCATGGTCGGGCTTATTCCTGGCTCTGCGCTAGGGATCACTCCTGAACTGTATGGGGTGCCAAAGATCCAACCCAGGGCAGCTGCATGGAAGGCAAGTTCATCCATTTGCTCGAGTGGGCCCAGTAACCTCTCCATTGTGAGATTTGTTGTTACTGTGTTTGGCATATCAAATACGTCACGGAGAGCTTGCCAGGCTTGGCCCTGCAGGCGAGATACTCTCGGTATCTTACTACCCGCCTTATTATTGCTCTGAGGCCCCCACTTCCCGTTCCTCTTCCTTTTAAGATGAAAAATGTCCCAAAGCTGGCCCCGTGGAAGCGCGTCGTGAAAGTGTCACTGCCTTTGGGCCGTTCACACCTACCTGCCTCATCATGCACTGCAGGAGGCCCCGCATGAGCTTCACCACGTTCTGCGGAAACAAAGGAAACAAAGCGGCATCAGCAGCGGGGCAAGTTACCCCTGCCATGCTCGCCACTGCTGCTCTCTGGTCTGCACCAGCACAGACCCATCACCTGCCGCTCCCCCAGGCCGCCAGTCCGGAGAAAGAACTCTCCACCCGATGAGAAATGTCAAATGAAGCTGCAGGAGCAGATGGCATGGCCCAGCTCCTCCAATGTTTATAAACCTGTCACTGCTCCTGATAACTTATTTGCCTTCTTTACTGGCTGAGTGGAGTGCATTGTGCCAGCTCAAAGGTCAGGGTGCCAGGCCAAGGGTGTGCTCTGACCTGGGCACCCTTGCATGTGGCTTTGATCCCCGGTGCCACCAAAAAATAAAATAAAAGTCAGGATGCCTTTGTGAAAATGGCAATTTGTGACACCATTACTAGACCAGTGAATGAAGTTCTTATTAAATGTAAGAAGCTGCCAAAGTATCTTTTGGTTGTTCTTGCAGTCCTGGGAATTGAACCAAGGGCCTCACACATGCGAGGCAAGAGCTCTACTGCGGAGCTACATCCCTGGCCCCACACGGCTTCTGCAGCCAATGCCTGCAGCTAGGACTACCGTGACAAATCGCAACAACACTGCTCTAGCCACCATGCGCAGCACAGATGACAACATGCCACAAAGGAGGCAGCTGGGCTGAGAGATGCAGTGGCGCTGACCAGTGTCCTGACTAGATCTAGGTCCAGACTCTGTGTGTGGTGAAGACAAAGGCACGTTGGTGGGGGGGCGTGGTGTGGTCACGTGCATTTGAAAAAGCAAGAGAACTTGTACTTCTACAACATGGACAGGCATGTGAGCGGAAGTGCACCTACATGCATGTGCATGCACACACGCGGGCGAACACACACACACACACACACACACACAATGCTACCTTTCACTTCCTCCATAATCCGGGCCCAATGGAAACCAGATCTCTGCCTGTCCTCTTATAAACACTGAAAAATTACTTCCTGTGCCACTAAGAAATGAGTCACTCTGGGGCTCGAGCGATAGCACAGTGGGTAGGGTGTTTGCCTTGCACGTGACCGACCTGGGTTCGATTCCCAGCACCCCATATGGTCCCCCAAGCACCACCAGGAGTAATTCCTGAGTGCATGAGCCAGGAGTAAGCCTGTGCATCACTGGGTGTGACCCAAACAGCTCCTCCCCCCAAAAACAAACAAAACAAATAACAACAAAAAACAAACAACAACAACAACAACAAAAAAAAAAAACAAGAAATGAGTCACTCTAAGTCAAAGTAAAAAAGAGACAGTGTGTGTGTGTGTGTGTGTGTGGCTTTTTTTTTATTCTGTCTCAATCTTAAAGGATTATTCGATACTTGCTACACATATTTGATTTATTTCATTTTACTTGGGTCCCAGGCGCTTGGTGGTGGTGGTGGGGGGCGATGGGGTGCTGGGATTTGACTTCAGGTCACCATATGTGCTAAGTCACGAAGCTATCTCCTTGGCCCATCTCCCTTCCTCCCTCCTTCCCTTCCTTCTTCCTTTCTGGGCCACACTCGGTGGTGCTCAGGGCTAGCTCCTGCTCTATGCTCAGGGATCACTCCTGACAGGGCTCAGGGGAGTATGGTGGGAGGGGGGCGGGGACCAAACCCAGGTTGGCATGTGCAGGGTAAGGGCGCTACCCTCTGTAGATGGCTCCAGCCTTGTCCGTTTTCAGAAACCACCCATTCCTGCCTTACCTGCCAGCATGTCTGCTCAACCCCAAACTGCCCTGCCCTTGCTCCCACATATTTTGTCTTATTGTTGTCCTGTTGCAGTTGGCTGCCTGCCCTCCTGTCCCTTCGGGTTGTCTTCAACAGCACCCAGCAGGTCCCTCAGAACCTGTCCCGGACCTGAAGCGCCACCTATAGGAAAGGCCAACATGGAATGTATGCCATCCAACCCAGAGCCTTGTGGCCAGAGAACTGGCTCTGAGCTTTCCCACGCCAATGCTGCTGACTTCGATGCTAGCACTCCGAGTACTGGAAACACCTCTTGCTCGGGGTAGATGATTTTCTTACAAACTCACAGATGGCAAAACTTTGCTTTGGCAGGCATGTTGGTTTCTGATTTTGGAGAACAATCAAAGGTTCTGTCTGGGTGGTATGGTAGTGTAGGTGTATACAAGCTGACCCCGCCACTGTGATTCGATAGGAAAGAGGGGATTTCCGGAGTTACAGTACTGAGTCAAGGTATGTCACTTACCTGAGCTGATGCTAATTCAATCCCTGGCACCACGAACAGTCCCCAGATACCACCAAGACTCCCCCTCCCCCTCATGAAAGGCGACAGCAAACTAATAAGGCTGGCTCAGACTCCAAAGAAACACTGAAAGGAAATTCTGAAGCAACAGTGTCTGGATAAGTAGCCTTTCAGTCTGACTGCCGAGGCCTATGTGCAGTGGAATGTGTCGCTCAGCAAGAACCATAATCAGATTAGTGCATCATGACACCTCATACGTGGAATCCAGAGGGCATATGTGAGAGTAACAGCATCCTTAAGAGTTCGGATGCTGAGGCCGGAGAGATAGTACAGTGGGTAGGGCGTTTGCCTTGCACGCGGCCGACCCAGGTTCGATCCCCGGCATCCCATATGGTCCCCCAAGCACCACCAGGAGTAATTCTTGAGTGCAGAGTCAAGAGTAACCCCTGAACATCGCTGGGTGTGAACCCAAAAAGCAAAAAAAAAAAATCCTGATGCTTCCCTTTCATTAAGTTTATGGAGTTTCTCACAGAGGGAAAACCATCTCTGAGAGATTTCTCGGTCGTTCCCCAAATATTCCTAGAAGAAATGGAGGTGACATGTACCCAACAGCCCAGCCCCTGCCGCCAGCTCCTTTCTCACCCGCCTTTCGGGGCCAGGCCAGGAGGTATGGGTGGTCAAGCAGTGTTACCTGTTCCAGCTCGTAGGCCTTGGCCTTGTCCTCGTCACGGTCAGCGTTCTTGCGGTAGGCCATAGCCAGGCCCCACACGGCCAGGATGCTGTAGATGTTATCCCGCACCCAGGCATCCTTCTGCTCATGGCTGGCGGCCAGCAGCCCCGTGACCGGATTCTGTTAGAGAAGACACAGAAAGTCACTCCGCACCACCCCTTAGCTGGTGCCCAGGCACCAGTGCTCACCCAAGGGGGCATGCACAGAGGACTGGGGAGCCACGACTTCCAGTTTTTGCCCTGTCAACCACATGATCTCAGGCATGAAAAGACATTACTTGCCTGGGCTTCCGTTTCCTCGTGGCTTAACAAGAATGTTGACTACAAAACCTCGAAGGATCCTTCCATGCTGAAGCCGGTATTCTTTCTGTTTTTCTTTTTAAATATATATATTTTAGAGAACTGTGGTTTACAAAGTGATTGTAAGTTGAGGATGAGAATGTAAGATTTGTGATAGCTAATCGCATGAGGTAAAGGTAAAAAGGTAAAGGCCCTCCCGTTGATCGTCGATTTGCTCGAGCGGGCCCAGTAACGTCTCCATTGGAGACTTTGTTGTTACTGTGTCTGGCATATCGAATACTCTCGGTAGCTTGCCGGGCTCTCCGAGAGGGGCGGAGGAATCGAACTCGGGTTGGCCATGTTGGCCGGAATATTCTTCAAATCATAGGCGTACCAGAAGGAGGGGCAAAGAGAAAGGGGAAGAGCAGCTGTTGGGAGAAATAATAACAGAGAATTTCCCTAACTTCGTGAGAGAGACTCTTGCAGACTCAAGAGGCCCAAAGAGCAGCAAAAAATAAATAAATAAATAATACACAAAACAATGCCAAGACAGAGCAATCCAAATGCTAAAAGCGAAAGACAAAGACACCTCTGAAGCTGGTGGTTTTTTTTTTGTGTGTGTGTGTGTGTGTGTATGTGTGTGTGCATTTTGGGTCACACCTGGCATTTCACAGGGGTTACTCCTGGCTCATGCACTCAGGAATTACTGCTGGCAGTGCTTGGAGGACCATATGGTATGCCCGGGATTGGACCCGGGTTGGCCGCATGTAAGGCAAATGCCTTACCCACTGTACCATCGCTCCAGCCCTTAAGCTGGTATTCTTTCACAAATCTCAGACACCAACTGGAGAAGCACTGACACGGGGAACCCTGGGCAGCCCACTCCAGAACTTTCGCTCTGTGTGTGTGGAATCCTGCCTCATTTCTGCTCCAGATACTTCACGCCCCTAAAGAGGAGGCACTGAGCAAGAGCTCATTTAGGATCCTATTCGCTATCTGATCATATTTGTTTTGGGAGCCACACCTGGCAGTTCTCAGGGCTTCTCCAGCCTCTGCACTCTGGGATCACTCCTTGCAAACTCAGGAGACCATATGGGATGCCGGAGATTGAACTTGGGTTGGTCACGTGCCAAACAAGCACCCTACCCATGGTACTATTGGTCTGCCCCCTGATCACTAGCATTTCAAAGGGCCGAGTCACTAGAAGCCAGACCTTAATGTATTCCTCCGTTCCTAGCAGCATTATTCCTAACATCCTCAATGTAAAACCACCCCAATGTCCACCAGTGAGAAACAGTATTCAGCAATATTCATGAGCCATACTGAAGCACACGGCCACAGGGGAAGCTGGGAAAGCTCATGTTAAATAAGGGAGACGCTCACCAAAGGCCACTGTTTATGATTCTCATTGTGGAATGTTCCAAATAGGTAAATCTCGTAGATAGTGGCTGTCCAGAAAGTGAGGGATTGGTGGGGTAAGGCAGAAATAATTAGGAACTGAAGAGGACTAGCAGGTTTTTCCTTGGGCGGGGGGGGGGGGGGGGGTTGGTGATGAAAATGTTCTAGAATGAATTGTATGGAGGTGCATGAGTCTGCAAATCTACCAAACTTTCGGGGCCCGGGAGATAGTACACTGCTTAAGTTGCATGTCTTACATGTGGCCGACCCTGGTCAATCCCCTGTACCACTATGATTTCACAAGCATCGCGGGAAGCTTCCAAGTACCACTGGAGTAGCCTTTGTGGTCCCTGGCACCGCAGGGACCAAGTGACACCTCCAGGCTCTCACTTTGAACTGTGGTCCCACTGGCCAGATATTGCCAGGAGTGGCCCCCTGGGCCTCGAGCACCAAATTGGAAGTTCTGCTTACAAAAATGAACACAAAATAAACTGCATACTTTAAAGAGATGAATTGCATACTTTAAAGAGATTAATGGTTATTAAATTATTTCAATTATGATGTTAGATTTTTTTTAAATAAAGGTCCAGAGTCTGGAGTAATATAACAGCAGACAGGGCAGTGCCTTGAATGCAATAGACCCAGGTTCAATCTCTGGTACTACATATGCTCCCCCAAGCACCACCAGGAATGATTCCTGAACACAAAGCCAGGAGTAAGCCCCAAACACCACCAGGTGTGGCCCCTCCAGAAACAAAAATAAATAACAGTCCAAATAGGGGCAGGATGGTAATTCAGTGGTAGAGGACATGCCTGGTCTGTGTGAGACCCCAAGTTCAATCCTTAACACTGCATGGTCCCACCAAGCACTACTGGTGTGGCCCTACTTGGCCCCAAGCACCACTGGGTGTAGAGTATATTAAAATTAATTTTTAAAAAGGCATTCCAAATAAATTTTCACCTAGTAATAGATGGATAAGGTAGGAAAAAATGCAAAGTCTCTATTGATTTTTCCTGTAAATAAGCATAGAAATATGATTCCAATCAAATATATTACGGCAATCAGAACCTAGTCAATTTTAAATATATAAATTATTCAAAAGGACACCAAATTACTTACAAAAAGGGCTCAAGAAAAACTGTTGGGTACTTTCAAAGTGATAGTGACAAGGTATTTGGGTAAAAACAATTAGTACAGTTTCAAATAGTTCCACCTAAGGAATGAAAAGTTTAACTTTCTCCTTTAACTTTACCATTCTCCTTTAATAAAAACCCTGCTAAAATCCCACAGATCCTGCCCTCAGGGACAACAGCTTTCAGTGTCCTGACATAGTTCTTCAGACAACTACTAGAATCAATGCTATTAAAGTCAATAGGAACTGAAGTCCGGGAATGTCTGAGTGAAGAAACAAGTCTTAATCCAATTGTGAATTACTGGCACTTTCTTTTTTTTTTTTTTTTGGTTTGTTTTTTGTGGCGGGGGTGGGGGTGGCTTTTTGCGTCACACCCAGCTATGCAGAGGGGTTACTCCTGACCCATGCACTCAGGAAGTACTCCTGGTGGTGGTCAGGGGACCATATGAGATGTTGGGAATTGAACCCGGGTTGACCGTGTGCGAGGCAAACGCCCTACTGGCTGTACTACTGCTCCAGCCTCACTGGCACTCTTTCTTAAAAATGAACCAACCACATGTAATGCGCATTCTGAGGCTAGTTGCTTAACCCCAGGGCAAGAAATCATCAATGGGTCCTGATACAGAGTTCAGCTTCTTCCTGGAGTACCCACCAACCATGAGTCCACAGAGACAAACAGACTTCCTATGACATAGCAGTGACCACATTCTGTGAGTCTTTATCCTGTTAACAGAAAGTTGCCTCTTGGCTGTGTCTTTTGTGGGCACAAACAGCTGAAGTGGATCTGATCAACTTTAGCCAGAGCTAGACTCTCTATCTGAACCCACATTCCGCTACAGACAAAGAATTCTGAGGATCCCTCCATTCAAAAACGCATACACAAGCCAACTTAAATTAGGCTCCTAGAGCTCTCGGGGCAAAGTACCTTATAGGCTGAGCCTGGATCTCCCCAAGGTATCTCGGAATTGGGTCACTGGACAGTAATCAGGCCATGAGGGCAGAGCTCGTGTGAATGGGATAGCATCCCGTAAGAGGCTGAGTTAGTTCATTCTCTTTCTGCCACGTGGATTCAAGTCAGTGGCCTGCAACCTGGGAGACAGACTCTCGCCAGAACCTCATGATGTCAGCACCCTGATCCCTGCACTCTGATGTCCCTGTCTCTGGGAGAGTGAGACGTGTCAGTACAGCCACCCAAACTGACCAAGACTGTTTCCAAGTTTACAGAAACGATGGCTTTTTGTTTTCTGCAATAGAAGAAAATGTGAGAGGTTCCATTTTGATACGATTCATAAAAACTGAAACAGCCAGAGGTTGGGAGACACTCTGCTCCCCAGTTTGCTGGTCCTTCTAAGGATGATCCCGTGGTTCAATCTTCCAGTTGTTCCCTTTAGAGATGGTTGTGCTGCCTCGTCTTGAGTTCTCACTCCCTGATTTTCGAAAACTATTTCTCTCTCTCTCTCTCTCTCTCTCTCTCTCTCTCTCTCTCTCTCTCTCTCTCTCTCCCCTCTCATTTCTTTCATTGGTCTTGACTGTGGGTCATGTCAGTAAAATAAGCAGCAAAAAGAAATACCAAGGATTTAATGTTTCATATGTTCAACATAATCCCATAGTGTCAATTAATCTGCGAGAATAGACATCTGAAAGCTATTAGAATTTTCTTAACATAAACTCTTCACATGCAAAAAAAAAACCATGCAAAACTAAAATACTGTATTTCTGGATGGGATAAAAACATATAACCCTGACCCATACTTAAGGAAATCTGACAACTTTCTGGATCAGTTATTTTATAAAGCTACATCATTGAAATACTGAATCCTAAACTCTGACTATGGAATTAACTTAATTATTGGCAGGAATGCTGAAGAGGAGAATAGGATGTGCATGGCAACTTTTTATAAAATTACATAAAGCCTTGGGGCTGGAGCGATAGTACAACAAATAGGGCGTTTGCCTTGCATGCGGCTGACCCGGGTTCAAAACCCAGCATCCCATATGGTCCCCTGAGCACCGCTAGAAGTAATTCCTGAGGGCAAAGCCAAGAATAACCTCTGTGCATTGCCGGGTGTGACCCAAAAAGCAAAAAAAAAAAAAAAAATTACATAAAGCCTTTACAATATATTTTAGATTTAAAAAAATTTAATTTAATATTTTAGATTTTTTAGTACAATTAGATTTTAAATTTACTAAGAATTTAAAGCATTTGTATTCTGATTTTTTAATTTTAAAAATTATTATATGTTTAAATTTTTATTGAATCACCTTGAGATACACAGTTACAAAGCTGTTCACGATCAGGTTTCAGTCATAC